AACAAAAAACAGGAGAAAGTCACTACTGTTGCATCATTGAACAGCGTACTACAATCATTACATTATTGAACCTGTTTACCACAACTACAACATTACTGAACCAGTGTATTACTCTCATTACATTACTGAACCTGTTTACCACTTGCAGTGGATTCTATCTCACTGTGGCATCAAAGGCAATGAAAGCGCTGATGCCAAGGAAGGCAGTAAAAAACCACAGACCTAAAAGCCACTATCTTTTCAAGAAGTCAAAACTCTCAATAAGAGAAAATCAGAAACAGATTGGAAAACCAACATTGGTTATAACTACGGACAAGATTTTCTGAAACACTTGAACAGAACAGACCAAGTCACAGTATTTTGCTTACCTACTGGACACTGCAGACTCAATAAACACTCAGATAAACTAGGTATGAGCCAAACAGCTCTCTGCCAGTGCCTTCGTGCTGAACAGACTCCAGAACATGTCCTGCAAGACTGTCCTCTCTTGGCTGAACTGCGTAGCTACATGTGACCACATCCAGTAGAACTGACAACTCAGCTTCGGGGAAACCTAAGAGACCTTGTGAGGACATCCTAGTTTATGGCCCACAGTGGATTATGTGCATGACCAGAGATCGCTGAAGAAGAACCTGTTTACTACAACTATACTGAACCTGTTTACTACAACCATTACATTACTGAACCAGTGTACTATCATCATAACAATACTGAACCAGTCTACTACAACCATAAAATTACTGAACCTGTTTACTACAACCATTACATTATTGAACCTGTTTACTACTACCATTACATTTAATCAATCAATCAGGTGCCATCTCCCCAGTGAAGGTTGGCTAGAATGGATCTCAAACATCCTCTGTCTCTTGTACTGACTCTGCACTCTCTCAGACTGCTGCCTGTCCATCTCTTGTTGTTGTCCTCCCACTTATATCGCTGCCAACCTCTTGCCTTTGACATCTCCCTCTAGTATGGTTTTTAAAGCTATTTTATGTCTTTCCATGTGGCCAAAGTATTTCAATTGTCTCTTTTGTATTTCTTTCAGTAATTCACTTTTTATTTGTAGCCTTTCCAGAATCTTTGTATTTGTTTTTGTTTCCATGAAATATGACCTATTCTTCTGTATAACCATTCAGAGACTGAATTTGATTTTCCATTTCCTTGTTCATTGTCCAAGTTTCTGCACCATACAGCAGGACTGAGTATAAATAACATTTGACGATTCCCATCTTTAGTGTGTTATTTATCTCTCTGGATCGAAAGGTCGTGGGTTTGCGAGCCTAACTTTTTTCCCTGCAAATATGACCTTGACTCCCAGGTCGACAAAGCCTTGAGTGGAAACCAGGTGCAGTCCTGGAAAGTAAAGGCGGCCAGCATGTAACTGACCACATCACCCACCAGGAGCCGACTGGTCTATACAAATAACGGCCTAGCCCTATATTTCCAATACACCTGAAGGCGTGGAGAAGGGAGCTTTTTTACAATGATGTCCCTCTCTCTAGCTGTCAGTATCTTGTGCATCTTATTGGAGACAGGTTTAGCCATCCCTATTCTCTTGTTGATTTCTGTTTAGCTTCTTCCATCATCTACGAGTCCTAGATAGGGAAAAAACTTGTTACTTGTTCTAATAGCTCTCCGTTTACCATTACATTACTGAATCAGTTCAATACAACGATAACATTACTGAAGCAGTTTACTATAACCATAACATTACTGAACCAGCTTACTAAAATGACGACATTACTGACCCAGTTTACTACAACCATTACATTAATGTACCAGATTACTACCACCATTACATTAGTGACCCAGTTTACTACAACCATAACATTACTGAAGCATTGTATTACTATCATTACATTACTGAACCAGACTACTACCACCATCACATTACTGAAGCATTGTATTACTATCATTACATTACTACCACCATTACATTACTGAAGCATTGTATTACTATCATTACCTTACTGAACCAGATTACTACCACCATTTTATTACTGAAGCATTGTATGTATTACTATCATTACATTACTGAAGCATTGTATTACTATTATTACATTACTGAACCAGATTACTACCACCATTACATTACTGAAGCATTGTATTACTATCATTACATTACTGAACCAGATTACTACCACCATTACATTACTGAAGCATTGTATTACTATCATTACATTACTGAACCAGATTACTACTACCATTTCATTACTAAAGCATTGTATGTATTACATTACTGAACCAGATTACTACCACCATTACATTACTGAAGCATTGTATTACTATCATTACATTACTGAACCAGATTACTACTACCATTTCATTACTAGAGCATTGTATGTATTACTATCATTACATTACTGAACCAGTGTATTGTTCTTTTTATAAATGATTTCATGTTGAAGCAGGTTTTTTCAGCCCCATCACCCAGCAAACAAGATCCCGCACTCACCGCATAAATACCCATCTGTTTGGGTTGTCAATCTTCTCTCACAAAGTGGCTTCAACAATGATTCCAGTCTGCCTTAGGAAGCATTAATAAGTTCACAGAGTGAAAGAAATCACAGAAGCCTAAACAATGAAGAAATCACAGAAGCCTAAACAATGTATCAACCAACCAATAACAGGCATATGACTTTAGGGTGACAGAGGAAGCAGCAAATATGGGTGAAACATTTAGCAACAAATGTCCTCAAAAAATGAATTGCTGAGCTCTTTTTCTTCTTCTTCTAGAAAGACTGCTCCCCAAGTTGTAAAGGTGAACTTATCTGGCATGCTGACAGAAACTCCACTCTCTTTTTTCAAGAAGAGATGCAACCTGTCTCAATTACCATAAAGAATTCGTACAGTGTTTAAACATTATATCTGTTCAGTCTGCCCATCAGTATGGTTACTGTAAAGTATGTGTGTCTATCAGTATGGTTACTGTAAAGTGGGTGTGGTGTCTATCAGTATGGTTACTGTAAAGTCAGTGTGGTGTTCATCAGTATGGTTACTGTAAAGTGTGTGTGGTGTTCATCAGTATGGTTACTGTAAAGTGTGTGTGTCCATTAGTATGGTTACTGTAAAGTGTGTGTGTCCATCAGTATGGTTACTGTAAAGTGGGTGTGGTGTTATCATCAGTATGGTTACTGTAAAGTGTGTGTGTCCATTAGTATGGTTACTGTAAAGTGTGTGTGTCCATCAGTATGGTTACTGTAAAGTGGGTGTGGTGTTATCATCAGTATGGTTACTGTAAAGTGTGTGTGTCCATCAGTATGGTTACTGTAAAGTGAGTGTGGTGTTCATCAGTATGGTTACTGTAAAGTGTGTGTGTCAATCAGTATGGTTACTGTAAAGTGGGTGTGGTGTCCATCAGTATGGTTACTGTAAAGTGAGTGTGCTGTTCATCAGTATGGTTACTGTAAAGTGTGTGTGTCCATCAGTACTGTTACTGTAAGGTGGGTGTGGTGTCCATCAGTATGTTTACTGTAAAGTGTGTGTGTCCATCAGTACTGTTACTGTAAGGTGGGTGTGGTGTCCATCAGTATGGTTACTGTAAAGTAGGTGTGGTGTCTATCAGTATGGTTACTGTTAAGATTGCATAACAGATATGTCTATCAGTGTGGTTACTGTTTAGTACGGGAAAACAGGTAAGGTGTATACCTTTGAATGTACTGCTGTTCATCAAAGTACCAGCTGTTATGTTACCTTGGCATACATTTAGTTGGCTTAGAATATATTCTGTCAAGTATTACAGAATAAAAGAGGTACCCATCAGTATGTTAAGTCTCCTATTAAAAATACAAAATGGATTAGGTATTTTATCTTTGAATGGACTGTTGTTAATTTACTGTAAAGTGTGTGCAGTGGACGTGGTGTCTATCCATATGGTTACTGTGAAGTGTATACAGTAGATGTGATGTCTATCACTATGGTTACTATTAGCATAAAGAAAAGGTATGCTGTCTATCAGTATGGTTGCTGTTAGGATTGTATAACAGATATGTTTATCAGTGTGGTAACTGATTAGTACAGAAAACGGGTAAGGTTTGTACCTTTAAATGTACTGCTGTTCATTAAAGTGCCAGCTGTTATTTCACCCTGGCATACATACTGCTGGCTTAGAATATTCTGTCAAGTATTACAGAATAAAAGAGGTACTCATTAGTATGTTAAGTCTCCTATTAAGAATAGGAAATGGATCAGGTATTTTATCTTTGAATGGAGTGTTGTTAATTTTCTGCAAAGTGTGTGAAGTGGACGAGGTGTCTATCAGTATGGTTACTGTAATGTGTGTACAGGATATACAGTAACCAGAAGCAGCTGTTATTCTGCCTCGGCTTATGTATTGTTAGCACAGAAGATAATCTTGTTGATGTGGTATGTATTCTGCTACCAGAGTATAAATTCAGCGAGCTGGCTATAAAAAGCCTCATGGTGAAGACAATGACCGGAGGAACCCTTTCCATCTTGCACAAACAGACAAACACAAAACTACAAACATCAGACTCTTTTCTGAGATCAATTAATGTTTCGTTAATTTAAAAAAAAATTCTCACACCGAGTCTGGAAAACTATTTTTAACAAGGCAATAAAAAGACAGGTAATTTTCCTTGTGCACTTTGCAACAGTGCAACTCAGTTCCGGCCTTTTTCAAAGTTACCTTGCATATATGAAGATAAACATGTCATAAAAGAGGCAATGATTAACTCTATTATTCTTTGTCTTTTTAGAATATTGCCGTCATTTAGCATCTAGTCCGTAGAAATACCGTTTCTATTCACGTATGCTAAAGAATGTCAAATGAAGTACATTTTTCTCCAAAGTAACCGGCGGTTATCTTCATCTTCTTAGCTGGAAATTACTGCCTCCATGTGACATGTCACTTTTCGACTGGCTAATTGTTGTGTAGAAAAAGTCACAAGTTGAATCTAGTAAGTTTCTCAGTGAAGACAGTATGCCTTCTTCAAATGTTTGAACTCTTGACCCTGGGTCAATGGATCTTCTAGCCTTCACCCCTGCCCAGTTTGTTGTAACACAGATTTCCATTGGTTGCCAAAGTCCACCATTGTTTCTATGGTGACACCTGGGGAAAAAACATCATCCCTTCATGAGTAAATACAAAAATGTTATCTTGGGGAATTAATATGTGCTCATGGGGAAATATAAAAGTGACTGACCCTTCATCCAAAATAAACACCCGAATGAGGAATATGAATGGACAGATGTTTGGTCTATAGCATCTATGTGGTTAACAAAGAATATGAACTAGAAATATGATAATAAATGTTCAGTATACAGACTGTAAGAAGTCAATTAAGTAGAGGAACTAGAAATGTGATAATAAATGTATAGTCTAACAATCTGTAGGTAGTGGTCCCACTTCTATAAAGTCTGGTCTTACTTCTAACCCATCCTGTCCCAGACACATCTGTGTACTGGTCCTATTTCTAACCCAGTCTGTCCCAGATGTGAAGTCAGTGTACCTTTCCAATTTCTAACCCATTCTGTCCCAGATATAAAGTCTGGTCCCACTTCTAACCCATCCTGTCCCAGATAAAAAGTCTGGTCACAATTCTAACCCATGCAGTCCCAAAAATAGTCTTTGTACTGGTCCCATTTCTAACCCAGCCTGTCTGAGAAGTGAAGTCTGTGTACTGGTCCCATTTCTAACCCAGTCTGTCTGAGAAGTGAAGTCTGTGTTCTGGTCCCATTTCTAACCCAGTCTATCTGAGAAGTGAAGTCTGCGTACTGGTCCCATTTCTAACCCAGTCTGTCTGAGAAGTGAAGTCTGTGTACTGGTCCCATTTCTAACCCAGTCTGTCTGAGAAGTGAAGTCTGTGTTCTGGTCCCATTTCTAACCCAGTCTGTCTGAGAAGTGAAGTCTGTGTACTGGTCCCATTTCTAACCCAGTCTGTCTGAGAAGTGAAGTCTGTGTACTGGTCCCATTTCTAACCCAGTCTGTCTGAGAAGTGAAGTCTGTACTGGTCCCATTTCCAACCCAGTCTGTCTGAGAAGTGAAGTCTGTGTACTGGTCCCATTTCTAACCCAGTCTGTCTGAGAAGTGAATTCTGTACTGGTCCCATTTCTAACCCAGTCTGTCTGAGAAGTGAAGTCTGTGTACTGGTCCCATTTCTAACCCAGTCTGTCTGAGAAGTGAAGTCTGTGTACTGGTCCCATTTCTAACCCAGTCTGTCTGAGAAGTGAAGTCTGTGTACTGGTCCCATTTCCAACCCAGCCTGTCCCAGACGCAAAGTCTGTGTACTTTTCCCATTTCTAACCCAGCCTCAAATGTAATACAGTACCTGTGGAGACAGTACTTTGGAATCGAGTTCCTGATCTCAAATAATCTGAACACACATATCTCAGACTTAAGAGATAAAATTTAGTTGTTCTGAGAATTTACAAGCAGCCAATTTGTAACCTGAACTATCACCTGAATACAAGATATAGGATGGCACTGGACCACAAGTGTCACATGCTGACTTACCTTCTTGTTCCGCTTGAGACTTGATCTGCTGTATGACCGGGGGAAGTGGTGTGGCCATCAGCTTCTGACGGCCTGTGACGATAGCCACCACACTGTGTCCAGTGAAAGAGCCAGTCTGCTGTGCCAGATACCTAGCACAGCCCAGTAGTTCCAGTATATACCTGCCAACCAACAAAAGGATCTACATCAGGGCTGTTCAATCAGTTTACTCAAGGGCCAGACTTTTGACAATGGGACAGTCTGGAGCCCCAGTATAGACAGATCATTAATACAATACAACTGGCAGTGATCCTTGGGCCACCTGCTAGGTCTTCGTGGGCTGCTAGCTGAATAGCCGGAGTCTACATCATCATCAAATGTCTTGCAGACTGGAATGGACGATCATGTCTCTCCATAGTCTGCCATTCTCAACAGTATTTATCAGTTTGTGTGTTGACATCCCCCCATGCCACGATTAAAAGTTGTCAAATATCGCTGTGTGTCGTCTTCCTCTGTCTCTTTCTAATGTTTGTGATAAGTTGTCTTCAAACCCTCACCTTTTAAAACATCAGGGTTGCTCATTTGGGTTGTTCGAGGAATTATAAGATTCTTCTGTAAAACATCTCTGAAGCCTCAAGATATTGGATTGTTTATTTATTGTTGAGGATTCAGCCATATGTTAAAACTAACTCTATAAATAGCATGCAAGAATTCTTGTTCAAGCCTCTACAGACATGGCTTTATTGCAAAAACTGTTCTTCAGTTTAAAAAATGCAGTTTTAGCCAGTCCTATTTTGTTTTCTATCTCTATAACAAATCTTCTGTTAGATGTTATCCATGTACCTGGATACTTATCCTGCCTTTCACCCACAAGAGAGTTCCGATCGGTTAAAATAAAAACACAGCAGACTCGACATGAATCACAAAGGGAGATAAACAGGAGGTCTTGTGCACAGTGGCCAGCAGACAGTGAAAATGATGGTTACTGACCAGACATTTTCAGCACAAATAAACTCTGAGATACAGGAAGTTCAGGGTAGCTTCTAAGAGGAAGTTTAGGGTAACTTCTAACAGGAAGTTCAGGGTAGCTTCTAACAGGAAGTTCAGGATAGCCTCTAACAGGAAGTTTAGGGTAGTTTCTAACAGGAAGTTTAGGGTAGCTTCTAACAGGAAGTTTAGGATAGCTTCTAACAGGAAGTTTAGGATAGCTTCTAACAGGAAGTTTAGGATAGCTTCTAACAGGAAGTTCAGGGTAGCTTCTAACAGGAAGTTTAGGGTAGCTTTTAGTGTAACCTCTTAAATCCAAAAGTTTTTCTGCACTTTAGTTGTAATGCAGGTGCCCATTTAAGACTCCCAGGCAACCATTTATACTTTCCAAACATCAGCGTTAAACTTGGTTTCTCACATTATTCTATAAGTTTCTGTTTGTGAAATCTCTGTCCCTTGTTATGATTGCCAGATTTTAGAAGCTGATTTATTTACTCAAACTTACCAAACATCTCTGTTCTTCTTTTTATGTACGCCGTACTGATTCAGTGACAAGGTTTCCTTGGACCTCTGAGCCCGGATGTATCTGCATAAAAAATATAAAAAAGAAAAAAAAAGAACACGTTACATTATATATATACACACACAAATAAAGCAAATATTCCGGACTTAATTTAAAAAATCAATGTTCGAAATGTGTCAAAAAACTGAAAAACAATTGCAGCTTGAGACAGTGTGCCATCACAGAATGAAGCAATCAGGTTGGATTTAAAACAGAACCCTGTGTGTGTACAGGCGTCTTACAAGTTTTATTGTCTGTTCTGTCAAGGATCTTGTTGTGGTCTTTCCTTTTCTTGGAGGTGTAGCTATTGTAACAGTTTTTAGTTTGACCATCTTCAGCCATACAGTACGGAGAAATTATCTAGTTCTATATGGTTCTCTCCTATGCTAGACTATCAGTGACTTTATGGAAAAGATAAAAGAATGTGCAGTCCACTGACCTGTTGCCTCGCCTCAGCTGAGCCTCCAGCCAACGGATGACCTCCCTGGCATTAGCACTGTCTTTCTTCTGCATGTCCAGACTGTCCACAACTGACCAGAAAAAGAAAGAGCATCCCCAATTTATTGCATCTGCTCTTTACCTACATTATCTTGCTTTTTATTAAATCTGCATACAAACAAAGAATGTATAACATCTAATGAGAAGGCTCGACAATACAATTAGAATATCTATCCCACAGAATGTAAGTTTTATTGCAGCCGAGTTGAGTTTTAAGAACCGACATCACAGCACTCGGGACATTCCCACTTTGTCCCCATCATCAGCAGCCAAAGAAGAGCTCCAACTCTGATGGTACCAGTAACAGTCGGACCTTGCCTTTCATCTTAGTGTGCAGTACCAGCCTGATACTCTAATCACCCTTCTACTTAGACCATGATAATCTAAACGTGCCTCTGCCTGGTTCACCCCCTCTCAAAGGGCCTTGACTACAACTAGCTTGTCGTGCATCATGACTATACCAAGTGGTGCAGAGCCAGCCAGCCAGTCTGTCGTTTCATTTCCCAACACACCTACATAACCTAAATTTTAAAAAAATCCAAAGGATTTACAAACAATACTTTGACCTTCTGAAGTGATGTGTGCTACTCTGCATACCTGTCCCCAGTTTTATGATAACAGTCAATCATCTACAGAAATAATGCATGAAGTTGTAGATATTCACTATCATCACCATCATGCAGCACCAATATGTCACACAGGGTACAGTCTATGACTTCCTTCTCTTGTATCTTGTGCAACCCATTCAAAATCATGGATGGAATCCAGCCCAGCACCTTTGGCATACTCTGTCTGCACACGGCAGACATTGCACAATAAATAAAATAAACTCAGCTTCATTTCAGCTAGTTTCTTATTTCTGTAACCATTTGTGTGTGTGTGTGTGTGTGTGTGTGTGTGTGTGTGCGCGTGGGAGAGAGAGAGAGAGAGAGAGAGAGAGAGAGCAAGACAGACTGATTTAAAAAAAAATATGTAGGTGTATGTAGTTGTAGGAGGTAATATGTAAAATACACGAAGGTAACGCATTTGTTTAAGTTGGTACATAGTAAAATGTATGAGCAGACATAAAGCACAATGTGTATGTAACCTTAGAGGCTGTCATAAAGAATATGATCTATACTGGTTCATCTGGGTAAAGATTCAACATCATAGTGTTCAGGACAAGCCCATATTAGCTCCGTCTGCATTCTCCAGTGGCACTGAGAACCCACATGCACTCCCCATTGCAACATTCTCTACCTTTTCTACCTGCAGGTTTTCAGCATCTTCCATTGGACTTGTTACCTGGTCCCACAGACAAGAGATCAGCCCTGCCTTGTGCAGTTGCAGCACCCCCCCCCCCCCCAAGTGAAGCCAGTCCAGCCAGCCTATCTGCCAGGTCCTTCTCAAACACACCTGAATAACCTGGGCAAAATATCTATGTGAGTCTCACCCCCTGCGACCTTTGCATTGATGTGGCCCCCATTCCATTAGAAACAAAAACCTGTCTCCAACCTCCTGAGCACACTTTGCTTTGATGTGGCCCCCATTCCATTAGAAACAAAAACTTGTCTCCAACCTCCTGAGCACACTTTGCATTGATGTGGCCCATTCCATTAGGAACAAAAACTTGTCTCCAACCTCCTGAGCACACTTTGCATTGATGTGGCCCATTCCATTAGAAACAAAAACTTGTCTCCAACCTCCTGAGCACACTTTGCAAATTCGATATATGAGAGTATGTGTGGGCGAGATTTTCTGCACCCATTGGAACGCAGAGAAAATATGATGTACGCTGCTTGGAATAAAGCACTACACATAGCAACAGCACACCTGTACAGGTGAGAATGATGGAAGCTGACAAATACACCCACCTGCCATAGGAATGACCACAATGCACCTGGCAGTCTGTGTCAGTTCCTTGACCTTGGCCAGGTAGTTGCACAGTGCAGTGTCGTCTGCAACCACATAGGGTGGGAACACCCAATGTTCTGAGGTTTTCAGGCTGCCTTCTAGTTCATTCACCTCAGCCTGGACAGAAGATTGTAGAAACAATACTGAACTATTAACAGCAAAGTGAAAGAAAGAGCATGGAAACAATACTGAACTATTAACAGCAAAGTGACAGAAAGAGCATGGAAACAATACTGAACTATTAACAGCAAAGTGACAGAAAGAGCATGGAAACAATACTGAACTATTAACAGCAAAGTGACAGAAAGAGCATGGAAACAATGCAGAACTATTAACAGCAAAGTGACAGAAAGAGCATGGAAACAATACAGAACTATTAACAGCAAAGTGACACTGAATAGATATGCACACACACAAAAACAGCAATAACGAATGACTTAAATGAATCAAACAATGAATTAATCTAGATCTCCATTTACTTTCCTTAAACAGACTCTTGATGTTTAAGCAGAATCAGTGGGGACTTAAGGGTTCAAGAAGTGTCTTTAGGAGGAAAGTTCCACAAATTATCATTATTCTCACAGGATAACAACTTGAGGTTGAGTTTAACTCTTTCAGGCTCAAGCGATGCTGTGTGTATTTATTGAGAAGTTTTGATTTGAGCAAACCAAACAGTCTGCGCTGCCTGTGTGTCCCATACATACTGATTCGAAATACTGCTACATATTCATTTTTAATGTTCGGAACTACCAATAAAATATTCAGGGAAGGTTACTCTAACATTTTTATTTGTTTACAAGTCTTTGTTTACATTTATGTGCACAATTTTTTGCCAGCATCATTTTTAGACAGTGAAATTTATAATTCTGCCTCTGAATGATCATGGATACCAATGTTCAAAGCACATTGACCACTGGCGCAAAATTCGTCGTTCTGCAGCAAAAGCTCCGAAATTGTTCCAGTCAGATGTTTTGTTTTCTGATTTTGACAAAAAAATCTTAAAGTTTTCGGAAAGTAACTCGGATGGTGAATTTGCACAAACAGTAGCTAAGCGGTCAGCTGTTGAAGAATCTCGCAGTTCCGATGAGCTAAACCCAGGAGGACTCATTTCATTTGCAAAGATGATTACAGTCACCCACATTTGCATCCAAAAAAAACTGTTTCAAACAATACCATATTATGGCTAAGCTGCATTGAATACACTGCAGCTTCAACTGAACACAGTAAATATTTTGTGCGTAATGGCCCATTGTCTATTTGAAATTGTGTTCAGTACTCTATGAGAACCCAGAGCCTCTAAGCGACAAACTAACCCAGAAACTTTAATAACTTTTGAATCTGTTAGAAAATAAAAAACTTTAGTATATTATTCTAAAATTTGCACATTCACTGCTCTTGTGGCTGCAAAACCATGTTAAGTGAAGATTTTTTTTCCTACTAACTCTAACAGTATAAAAAAAAAAAAAACCATGAGATTCAAAATGTAAATTCATTCCTTCCTCCCCCTCTTTAAAATAAATATATACTTATGCAGGGATTAGAAATATATTATATTTCTCAACTGCCCTTTTATTGTACACCACTCCCTCTGCCATTTTTGTAAAAGGAAATGAATGCGTGGCAGAGCCAAGTCTGTCAACATTCATTATCCTAAAAGAGTGAAGAAAATCAGTTTTAAGAAAGAAAGCAAATAGTAACTAACCTGAGGAGTTAGTGGAAGCAATGAGATAACTGAAGTGACAGCAGACCAAACTGAGATGGGAAGATTCAGATAACTGACAATGAGTTGACAGAAGACCAAAGATAAGATGGGAAGATTCAGATAACTGACAATGAGTTGACAGAAGACCAAAGATAAGATGGGAAGATTCAGATAACTGACAATGAGTTGACAGAAGACCAAAGATAAGATGGGAAGATTCAGACAAATGAGTGACAGAAAACTAAAGAGGAGATGGGAAGATTCACATTCAACCACTAATAAAAAGACAAATGAAAGCAAACAATGGCACCAATAACATGGAAGCAGGTTGACAGTTTCTCAACTGATAATCCCCAGATTACATTCTATGATAAATAAGGAAGGGGAGATGCTGCTGCAGAGAAGTGAGTTGTACCTGAAGCCTGAGCTGTGCCATGTCCCTCATCAGCTGATTGCGTCTGTTCTCTGTGTCTTTCTGAAACAAACAATACAGACATCATCATCTAGTGGACCAGATCAGAATTCCTGGAGGAATTAGTCATTTAGTCATCTCTCTCTCTCTCTCCTCCTCTTCTTTATCTCTGTTTTTTTTTCTTTTTATGTGTTCATGTACCTTTCTTTCCCTCTCTACTTTAATGTGTGAGTGCTTGGGAAGAGTGAATAATTATTAATTGTTGTCACAGCTATTACTAGTATGTTTAAGTGTATGTATGCATACATGCGTAACAATAGTATTTTATTTATGTATGTATGCTGGAACTTCAGGCTAATCGTATATGAGAGAAACATGATAACTTGTGTACACCATTAACACACACATGTGAGCATGTAGAGAGTCGGTAGTCCAGAACCCAAGTTTAAGGTGTCTCTTTCGTGCCAAAGAACTGCATGGTTGTGGGGTGCGCAATCGCTAACGTAGGCAGTCAGGTTGTACAGGAGCGACATCTTGCTGTTAGGCATTATGCCCTTGGTCCCCTCCCCAGCACGAGGGCACCACTGGGGTGACCGTTAATAAACCCTCAGTACCTCCAGTCAAAATGAACGCTAGGCCCGGCCATTGTTGTGAGCCGTGGCACATTTTTTGGCTTCTGCCAGACGGTGGCCGGTGCATTTTTGCTCCATTTTTAGACTGAAAGGACAGTTTCGTCTCCCAGCTTCTCAGTTGAGTGCATGGCATGACACTGTGAGCTGCTGATTTCATTTGGAATGTATTTCTACTGTGACCAACGCGGTGGTGTGAACTGTAGATTCAGAAAATGGTGTGATGCCTGTTGTCGCAATATTAGTGATGCCATTATGTTATTAAAATGATCACGTGTGCAACTGTTGATCTGTTGGTGACTTCTGCTACCATCCATGATGAACTGCATTTCTAGTGTCGGACTGTTTGTGTTAGCACTTTTGATGGCTACGGTATGATTTTAATGCATGTGTATGCTAGTGCATATGCTGAGACAGCAGTCTGTCAATCTTCCCTCAAGGGACTGTGATAAACATTCTGTGTATTTTTCATTTGCACAGGAGCGGAGCAACTATGGGGTGACCTGTTTGCTGTGAAGCTGAAACTAAGAATACCAGATTACCAGATCAGAATTTATTCTAAGTTGTGGGTTGACAGTGAAAGAATAAATGAGCTTTGATCTAAAAGGGTACAACACTGAGCAAATGCTCATCTTTCACAGACCAATGATATTTAGTTTGTACACAACTTATAAACTACTTGGCATGTTAATTTGACATCTACAAAAAATACAATCAATTAACATTTAGCACGGGTTAAACTGTTTTAACCCTTTTTGCTGCTATGGATGTATTTCCCCTTTTTCCTGTTTACTGCTACGCACATCTTCGGATGTTCTTTTTTTTCTTCTTGGCTCCCAGTGCCATGGGCGTAAAAAAAGTTTTTTGACTTTATTTACAGATTTCCATGGACTGTTTTTCTTGGGGGTCAAAGGGCAATACACATCTATATTTAGATCTAACTGACCATTTACAGATGTGATTAAAAAACACTGTCAAGCGCATTTAGGTATGTTTCAGGTGTGTTTACAGCATTCCGTGTTATCCTGTTGCTTTGTTTACCTTGGCAGCGTGGTCGATGATCTGTGTATTTTGTGCCCTGATATATATTTGTGCTTTTGGATTATTCTACATTCCGTTAATACAAAATGGCAAGAAAACTTGATGGAGTTTCTGTCAAGGAGTGATAGCGAAGATGACTTTGAAATGTGTACTTCTGACAGTTAACAAAAGGATTTGACTAGGCCATCAACATCGATGGCTCAAGCCAGCGTGGACAAGAAAAAGCTGTTTGTCTGCCTGACGTTCTTATCATCAAAGCAGCACAAAACTGATCAACTGTCTGGCTTTAATGTAGTGTTTTGTGTTTGATTTGTCAGTTTCCAGTGTTTCCGTTTTGTACAGGGAATGTTTATTTAAAATTAATGACCTTTTTTCTACTCTACAACGGACAATGTATGTTTTACTTTATCACACGGTACAACACTGGTCTTATTTTTTGGTTGCTGTTATTGTATAATAGTCTGGCGTAGTTGGTATCATGTCCGCCTTACAATCGGAAGGTCTTGTGGTCAACCTTCCACTGGACTTTTTTCTTCCTGTATATTTTTGCTTTCAGTTCTTGTCACTTTTCGGCAACGGATGACTTAACTATTATTATTATTTTTTTAGTGTATTATTAAGGTGACTACAATTAATGATGATTAAAGTGGGAGCCGTGGTGAGGAGCGGCTGGCCGGACAGTTAGAATGTTGGGCTCTGAAGCGGGAGACCCAGGTTCGAATCCTCGGTAATGCTGGGGATTTGTTTCTGCCGGGGGCAAAACAAAATTGTTACCTGCACAGTCGTGGCGACAGCACTAGCCATGCGGCCGTAAATCCTCAGGCTCAAAGACCCTCCCACCCCCCGCAAAAAGTGGTATCATAAAGGCAGTAATTGGCAGTTTGGGAGCCGTGGTAGAATCATCACTCAAATTCTGGGGTAGGGACTGGGAACAGTTCTTCGCATTAGTCAGCCCCTCATCAAGAGCTTCCTTGGCCAGGTTTTTGGGGCGAAGATTTGTGGAGTTTGTGAAACTCCTCTGTGGAGATTTTACTGCACCTACGACAGTGGTGGAGACAATGATGAAAAGGATACATGTTTTTTCCACTAACCCTAGCGAAGATGGGCAGTAAAATCTAGCTTCTAGTGGTTGCTTTCTGTCAAGAGAAAGTTTGTTGGCGTCGCCATCTTACGTCTGACTTGTCCAGACTCAGGCCAGCCACACACCTGCCTAGGGGAATATTTTTAGGTGTACCAAATACAGCCTTTACCGCTGACACATCTTTTGCATTTGAAGGATACAAAAGTATTGCTTAGCAACTGGATATGCAACAGCGAAAGGGTTAAAATACTGAGAACATCCTGGACAGACGAAAAAGAGTAATAAAGACGTCTTGCAAGAAATTGACTCACTAAGAGAACTGACTGCCCACATCACAAAGAGACAATCTACATTCTTTGGTCATGTGATGATGAGGAGAAAACTGGAGCACATCGTGACAGTCGGACAGTTGGAGGGGAGAAGAGGCAGAGGGAGACACAGAGAAAAGACGCTGGACAGTCTGACATCAAGGCATGGAAGATCATCTGTGTCAAGAGTTTACTGAAAGTATATCAGATGGATTGTTGTGGAGACATGACCACCAATGCCACACTTCATAGGCTATGAAAGATAATACTTGTCAGAAACAACTGAAAGTACACAGGACAGAAGGTTGTGGAGACATGACTCTTGATGCCACACAGCAGGGATTATATTTCACATGTGTCAGAAACAACTGAAAGTAGACAAGACAAAAGATTGTGGAGAGACACAACTACCAGTGCCACACGGCATCGACCAGACACAACTACCAGTGCCACATGGCATAGACCAGACACAACTACCAGTGCCACATGGCATAGACCAGACACAACTACCAGTGCCACACGGCATCGACCAGACACAACTACCAGTGCCACACGGCATAGACCAGACACAACTACCAGTGCCACACGGCATCGACCAGACACAACTACCACTACTAGACCAGTGCCACAACGGCATGCCACACGGCAGACTACCAGTGCCACATGGCATAGACAGACACAACTACCAGTGCCACACGGCATCGACCAGACACAACACAACCAGACACAACCAGTGACACAACACATGCCACATGGCATAGACCAGACACAACTACCAGTGCCACACGGCATCGACCAGACACAACTACCAGTGCCACACGGCATAGACCAGACACAACTACCAGTGCCACACGGCATCGACCAGACACAACTACCAGTGCCACACGGCATAGACTAGACACAACTACCAGTGCCACACGGCATAGACCAGACACAACTACCAGTGCCACACGGCATCGACCAGACACAACTACCAGTGCCACATGGCATAGACTAGACACAACTACCAGTGCCACATGGCATAGACTAGACACAACTACCAGTGCCACACGGCATAGACTAGACACAACTATCAGTGCCACATGGCATAGACTAGACACAACTACCAATGCTTCACAGCATAGACTATCAGAAGAAGACATAATAACTGTGGCCTACCTCTTGCAGTTTTCAACTAGTCTGCTATTTGGCATTAAACCTTTTCCCACTGTGTGCACAGCTGGTCAATATCAACTGATGTAACAAACACAACAACTAGCAGACGAGAACATCATCTCACCATTCTTTCCATGGAGTCCTGACTACAGTTGTTCAATGTGAGGTCTGATGATGATGATGGACCAAAGAACATGGAAGTATCCGTCTGGTATGTGAAGTCAATGCTCTCTATGGAGGTCAGGAAGTAACCAAAGTGGCGAAGGCAGCAAACACGAAGAAATGTCTGTGGATAAACAATGTGAAAACTGCTGGTCACACAAGTCAAACAGGGCTAAAGGAGAAAATCCCACTTTAAAAAAATAATCTATCTCTATCATCTCTTAATAATGCAGACTATAGTTTAAAAAACGTAACAGCACCCCTAGCTCTGTCTGGTGTTGTGAAACAAGTGAGACACGGAACTAATAGCAAACTTCAAGACAAATCAGCACCTGATGTATGATCAGGTCAATCAAATGATTGCCAGGATATTTGCCATGACCTACTTTAGGTTAGGTCGCCCTGAGTCATGATTGGCTCGCAGGTAGATGCTTCGTTGCTGGCTGAGATAGTATTTGGGTCTGTCTCCTCTGATTGCAACAACATTGTAGGAGTCCTTTTCAGGGCACATGGTGGCAAACAATGCTAAGCCATTTTATATGGCGCACATAACCTAGTCACAGTTATAACCCCCAGCAAAGCAAGCAGCAGCAGCAGACTTGAGACTCCTCTTTAGTCTGACAAAATTCCCTGCCTCAGAGATGTGAACACACGACCACCCAGCTATCGGGCAAATGTGGTAGGCACAGAACCAGCACAATCTCTTCAGTGTAGAGAAATAAAAATGTTGCACAACTGTATGTGTACACTCTCTTCTGGCTTGTGTTCTTGTAGATGACAAACACATAATCTTGATTTCCAAGCAAAAGAGGGAGGGAGAGAACAACTAACTGGGGGGCATTCCTCTGAAGTCACAGCGCATCTACCTGAGCAGCAGGAAACAACTGCCAACAAATTAGTCAGTAAAACAGATGTATATGCAAAACTCAGGCCCTTGCACAAAGCCAAAGTCCCAATGGGCGAACAACCAGAACTTTCTGCCGGAGCTAACAGCTGGTAAACAAAAAATATATTATATACTGACATAGCAGACATCAACATTTGCATATACTGGAGAGTGGTGATGCCACAATGGAACAGAAGCTTCTGCGACGATGGTCAGGTTCTATCTCCTGCTCAGAAAAGACTATTTTACCATCAATACAGGCTAATGCCAATCACAGCCTAACGTACATGACTAAAGAACATATCTGGGAAGTTTCTCTATCAAGGGCTTGTATTAAAAGTTACTGACTATGGTCTTGGCCTCCTCACTGTCAGCAAAACCCAGCTAAAAAGACTGGACCAAGTACAAAATAAGGCCATGAGACTCATACTCAGCTGCAAAAAAGACACCTTCTGCAACGCCATGCATTATGTCCTGGGTTTGCCGACGATGACTAGCAGATACAAAGCGTCACAGGTCAAGGCTTACATGAGGGTATCGGCAGACGTTAACCACCCACGACACAAAAGGAACGCGTCTCAAAAGAGGCTGCTCCTCGAAGGCAAAGGCTGAGGATTTAATCCAGCAAGTATGTGACCTAGACGTGATCAGTCATGGAAAAGAATGGACGAATACACCAGCAGACATGCATGGCATCTCTAAGGTTGTCATCACACTTGGAAAGTACTGCAGGAATCAAATTCATGCGGCAGTAGACACAAAGGTAAGGGAACTGATAGATCAGCATTCAGACCCAGAAGACATCATCATCTACACAAAAACTGGCCTCCACTTTATAGTTTGTGATCTAAAGTTTGCAAAGACCCAACACTTCACATCATAAAGTGATGACCATTATTGGACTATCTTGTACATTTAGAGAACAGATCACAGAACTGATGTTCAAACACACAAGATGACAGACAGCATCATGACAGACAGCATCAAGACTTACTTCCTGAATGTCTGACAGCTGTGCTCTGTGCCTGGTGGTGAAATCGATTTGTGAGTGTATGTCTGCCAGCGGCGGTAGCTGACACAACTCAATGTCTTCAGTCAACGGGAACACCTGGGTCCAGTCTGGGAATTGGGTCTGCTTGACGATCACCTGTAACTCTGGCACCCAGCACATGCCTGAGATTTGACAACAACAAAAAAGATGACAGCCAACACTCTCAGAAGCTACCCCCACAATAACCTCATTTTAGCAAATATATGTGTATTCAATATTTGACAGTTATGTGACTGAATGATCAGGAATCTTCATGATTTACACAAAATGATATCCGTAAGCGTAATTAAACCTCTCAAGTGGCTGTGAAAACCACCATACTATCACTCAGATATATGGGCCGTCATAAATATAGAATCATAGAGATGGGATATATTCACAAAACATAATGGGTTTATAATAAATAGTTGTGACACTATAATTTTTTTTAAATTCTATATCGCTGTCAGAAAAAAAAAAAAAAAAAAAAAAAAACTTTTTGGTTGCAGTGTTAGCACCAATCTCCAGCCACATGATGATAATGTCAATCAAGATTAATCAGTTCTTGTTCTTGAAATTTGTTCTCCATTCAATTTGGTGCAATAATACAAAATATTATAAGTTTATGTTAAATAGTTGTGAAGTTATGGCATTTTTAGTACACACTAAAATACCAGGTGCAGTTCTGGGAAGTAAAGGCGGGCAAGGTGATGCTGACCTACCAAGTGCCGAATGGTCTATAAAATACAGGTCTAGCCCTACATGCCCAATAAGCCTGAAGGCGTGGAAAAGGGTCCTTTACTAAAATACCCGATATCTAGGAAAGTGCAAGGGTTACCGGATGTGGTAGTCAGTGGGTTCAGAGGGCAGCAGGTGACACGGTTTACATGGTGGTAGTCAGTGGGTTCAGAGGGCAGCAGGTGACACGGTTTACATGGTGGTAGTCAGTGGGTTCAGAGGGCAGCAGGTGACACATTGTGACACGGTTTACACGGTGGTGGTCAGTGGGTTCAGAGGGCAGCAGGTGACACGGTTTACATGGTGGTAGTCAGTGGGTTCAGAGGGCAGTAGGTGACACATTGTGATACGGTTTACATGGTGGTAGTCAGTGGGTTCAGAGGGCAGTAGGTGACACGTTGTGACACGGTTTACATGGTGGTAGTCAGTGGGTTCAGAGGGCAGTAGGTGACACGTTGTGACATGGTTTACATGGTGGTAGTCAGTGGGTTCAGAGGGCAGCAGGTGACACGTTGTGACATGGTTTACATGGTGGTGGTCAGTGGGTTCAGAGGGCAGCAGGTGACACGGTTTACATGGTGGTGGTCAGTGGGTTCAGAGGGCAGCAGGTGACACGGTTTACAAGGTGGTAGTCAGTGGGTTCAGAGGGCAGCAGGTGACACGGTTTACAAGGTGGTAGTCAGTGGGTTCAGAGGGCAGCAGGTGACACGGTTTACAAGGTGGTAGTCAGTGGGTTCAGAGGGCAGCAAATGACACATTGTGACACGGTTTACATGGTGGTAGTCAGTGGGTTCAGAGGGCAGTAGGTGACACAGTTTACAGCTGGATATCTGTGCTTTTAAGATGTAGTTCTACACACAAGCTACACTGATGAAATGAGAAAATACAAACTTTTAAAACTGAAGAACTCTGTAATACAGAAACTCTTAAGTCAGGGCTATTCAACTTGTTGCCTGCAGAGGCCTAGCAAGTGACCAGCGAATCACTGCCAATTTTTTGGTATTAATGATCTTTCCATACTGGGGGATTTAGCCACATTTCCTACATGTTGGCCTCTGAGTAAACTTAGTTGAAAAGCTCTGCTCTGAGTGAACACAGGGCAGGTAATCTGACTGGCTACTTACTGTGCTGCACAATGTCGTTCTCATGGGGCAGGAAGTTGAGAAGCACTGACAACCTCTGCCATAAGTTATAGGAACTCTGCAACAAAGAAATTAGTAAAATCACACACACTTTAGCACCAGCGCCACCATGTGGCCCATAGTTAGTGTCCCTTTATATACATGTGCCAAACAGTAACAATTGGTGAAGCCCAAATCCCATCTGCCAGAGCAACAATTCTGCCGCAACTGAAATAGTGAAAGTAAATCAGTGGACCAGATCACTTGTTCCCCTTCCCTCTAACTTCCAAGGCAGGCCCTTTCCTACTCCACACAAAGTTTTTTTTTTGCATCTACTTGCAAGTTTTCTCAATGTATGTTCTGTAGGGCCACTTTATTCCTCAGAACTGGTTCAGTGCTGCCCATAAACTCCATATTGGTGAGTCTGTCATGTCTTCACAGGCAGCAATTAGTGAACACTGCCTAGTTTATCAGTAACCACACACATAAACATATATATATTCCACACTGCAGTTGTGAAAGTGTGGAGCTGACACTGTCAGGAACAGAAGGATTGATGCAGTAAGACAGTTTTAATTCAGCCATTTAAGGTTCTTAGTTCTTTTAACAAGTAACTGGTGCTTCATGCAGATGGTGATATACTTGTACTTCAAACGACTTTATTAGGTAGGTATCTAATAAAAACAAAAAACATCACTACAAACATAATGTAGGGTATTTCTAGAATTCTATGAGAAGTAGCTTGCTGAATAATTGAGAAAACTGGGCTATCAAGCAGAGGACATCCGATCTGAATCCTCTGCAAGGCTGGAGACAGGTGGCCCTAAATCCTCAATCCTGAAGATACCCCCACCCACAAAAAGTGATCTATACGGGCAGTAATGGCTGGTTTAAAAAAAAAGATTTCTATGGGACCATATTCCAAGTATGGTACCAGATTATTTTTCCGGACAAATTTCCTTTGATTCTTTTTTCTGGTTAGTGCAAGACTGATCAGTGGCCAGTCTGATCACCACTTTGTTGTCCGCGGTGCCGTGTGATCTCCCAGAATGTTCTAGTTTATAAATTTCACAGAAAAACGTGGTTAGCTGTTTATACCTGAGCACAAACAGAGATGACAAACGAGATCACATGACCCATCACCTAGGCACATAAATGTGGTGAACTGTTTACCTGGGCACACACAGAGATGATGGATGCCTGGGATCGCATCCAGTCACACATGACCTTGACTGTTGGCAGAAGACCTTCATTTTGAACGACCTCCAGGACCTGCTGCAACTTTTGTTGTTCACGTTCTTGTCTGAGGAGCAAACACACAACATTCAGGGACAAGGGATGAGAGTAACATGCAGTCAGAAACTCTTATATATTGAGATGTCTTATTTTCTGATCTTCTTTTACTTTTAACCTTCTATCTGATATCTTGGAGTCAATGTATTTTATGTGTTTTTACTAAATTTCTTACCTGGCAATCCCTCATTTTAGCTCCCCAGATACCAGTGACTAAAGTGTGATTAAGAGCTCAATGGCACCATATCCTAGATCGTCACGACTGACAGGAGTTGTTGGGATCAGAATCCCGTCATGGTCAGTGCTGAGGTCTGCACCAAGAAGGCAAACAGTCCAAGAAGCCAGCAATACTGTCTCCATGACCACCAGTGGCCTGACGATGGATGTGATGGCGGTGACACAAGCTTTCATGTGGGTAGAATCACAGGCCTATTCCCACGTGTGTGTGTGCTGAGCGATTCTTTGAACATGATCTAGCAGGTCAAGCTAGGCTCCATATGCACACAGTGGATGGAGTCACTGCAAAAGTCTTCTCTGTGTGCAGTAACTTTCATATTTGTCTTAGGATATGCAGGTGTTGTTGGCAAAGAAAGAGCTGATAGATTGGCATATTGATCACGCTGACACTGACACCTTAGAGAGATAGGACATTCCGAGGATTTTAGGAAGCAATGAGTCCACATGACTACTAAGAATACGAGAAGTGGGAGTAGAGATTGGCACACCAAGCATGAGAGGCACACTGGATGTACAAGAAGTCTTGTCAACCAGCATAAGACTGGCACTATTAACTGTGCAACACTGATGAATATGCTGAAGGAAAATCTAAGCACCGATAGTTGTGATGATAATCCAACTCATAACTCACTTAGACAGGCATACATTTGATACAAACATAACAGACCACAAACCCACAAGCTGACATGACAACCTGACACAACATGCAATACCCACTAGCTGACATGACAACCTGACACAACATGCAATACCCACTAGCTTACATGACAACCTGACACAACATGCAATACCCACTAGCTGACATGACAACCTGACGCAACATGCAATACCCACTAGCTGACATGACAACCTGACGCAACATGCAATACCCACTAGCTGACATGACAACCTGACGCAACATGCAATACCCACAAGCTGACATGACAACCTGACGCAACATGCAATACCCACTAGCTGACATGACAACCTGACACAACATGCAATACCCACTAACCTTTCTATAGCACTGGATGCCTTCTGCTCATTATCTAACTCCTCCAATTCGGCTAGAATATCCATCTGCTCTGTAATGCCAAATTGTAACAATACATATCAAGCAAGTCTGACAACTATTTTAACACATATCAAGCAAGTCTGACAACTATTTAAAAACATATCAAGCAAGTCTGACAAGCACTTTTTTCTTTAGTATGAAAAAGCTCTGATGTTTGATAATCTCCACAGTAAATAAGCAGAAGACAATGTTACCACCACTACTGCAACTCTCTACAACCACAATTACAGCAGCCACTATAACTGTCCTGTTGCTACACTAGTTAGGATTTTCAATTTATTATATCATCAATTATTTCAGAGTAGGATCTTCAAGAATTAGTAACAACTAAGGAATGTAATATATATATATATATATATATATATATATATATATATATATATATATATATATATATATATATATATATATATATATATATATATATATATATATATATATTTGTATAGGCTGTGATTATGAACAAAGGATAGCAAAAGCCAAGTGTAAAATCAATGCCAAAAGATCTCTGTGTGGGTTCCAGGGCCCTATTTTGGGGAAAACAAGAATAGACCAACTGCCTACCCAAAAGTATGTTGTAAGAGTTGACTAATTGGGAGCTTCCTTTGAAGTCGGAATGCATCTGCCTGAGAGGCAAGGAACCAACAGTCTGCATACAAATTAGATATGTCAAACGGATGCAAACGCACCACTCAGGTTCTGGAACAGGACTGCAGTCTAGAAATGGACGAATAACTAGAACTTTCCGCCAGAGTTTACAGCCAGTGAAAGTAAAGAAGGAGAAAAAGAATGTCAAAAAAAAGCCACTTGAACATGTCAACAGTCTGTCTTAGCTAGGACAAGTGTTACAATCAAAGTCAACAGTCTGTCCAACTAGGAAAAGTGATACAATCAATGTCAACAATCTGTCTCAACTAGGACAAGTGATACAATCAATGATGGCATGTGTGAGGCAGAAATGAGCCAGAGAACAGGAATGGTTAAGGCAAGTCTCAACAATAAAAAAACAACCTCTCATGTCTAAATAGGTCAGTCTGATCAAGTTCTACTTGAGCCTACAGGCTTTGAGCTGCAAGGCTTGTGCAGCCCCTACGCAATGTGCAGGTTCACTTTTGATTTTCCTCCCAACAGAAAAACCTCCATTAGTTTACAGAGATCTGGTTCTCCAGAATGAGAGCTCCTATCTTTCAGAGATTTAAAAAAAAATCATAAATCAAAATAATAAGGTACTCTTGCCTAAAAGTGATCTGGCTAATTGCCTGAATGAGTGTCAATACTGCAACATACCTGTATCGGTCATGTTATGAACCGTCTCTGTATCTGTTTCTATATCAAAGTTTGCCAGCTTTTCTGTGATCTCTGCAACATGTTTGGCTTCTTCTGAAGAACTGAAACCTGTCAGAATAATAGCATAAGATGCCAATAACAGGAAACATGCAAACAGGTCACTTTGACTGAAAACATAAAAAGACATAATACTCCAGGAGGACTTGTGGAAAAAAACTGGCAACAATGTCTCAAAAGGCATGTAAGTCGCAGGAAAAGATCTCGGAAACTGGTCCTCCAAGCCATCTTATGCTCAAAACATGACATCACTGGCTGTAAAATTGACACTCCCCACCACCCTTTCCCTAAAACAAAATATCAGAATTCTGTTCACATGAACAGAACCAGTCCAGTACTGAATTCTAGCCCATTAGTGATTCGTAGACAAAGAAAGGCAGATAAGTTTACATAGCTACAGAAAACCTCACGCAGCCACATAGCTTGAAAACCTCAGACACTTTTAAAAACAATATGTGAAATTAAAGGGGCAGAATACCATAGCAACAGGACACCAGCTCATGTGGTCAGACAGAGCTATTCAACTCAGTTTCCTCAGAGGCCAACATTTTGAATATGGAGATGGTCACGGGCCAGAGGCTTGGCCCCAGCAGACACAGATCATTAACATAATACAACTGGTAGCGGTCAGCAGGCCATGTGCTAGGCTGCCACAGGACAGATTTGGCATGCGCGCCGCCAGCTGAATAACTCTTTTGTTGTATGAAATCACAGCACCCGGGACCCCCCCCCCCTTAAGCGCACCATCCACATCTTCAGCAGCAAGCGAAGAGTTCCAGTTTCAATGGTACCAGTAACCCTGTTGTAAGACATGGAAAGAAAGATAATTCAAAAACAAAACTGCCATTATATCATTCTGTCCGTTCGAATACAGAAGATATATCAAAGAACAGACTCAAGAACTTGCAATTTGACAGAAAAGAACAGGGGGAAAGTAGATAGATACCTTGAAGGTTTGATGACATGTATGGGGCAGTGTCGTGGGTAAGCTCCCTGGTGGAGCCAGACTTTTTTTTAAAAATGACCTTGGCTCCCAGGTCGACCTAGCCTTGAGTGGGTACTGGGTGCAGTCCCGGGAAAGTAAAGGGTGGCCGGCGTGATGCTGACCACATCACCCATCTTGTGCCGATTGGTCTTTAAAATATAGGTCTAGCCCTATATGCCCAAAGGCGTGGAAAAGGGTCCTTTACTTTTTTACTTTACTTATGGGGCAGTACAAAATGACCATCCTATCAGTAATTCTGCTGATTGTATAGGATGGCCAATGATGACCACCTATGCTTTTTGGCAGGGCACATGGTATTTCCAAAGGACAGGGGGGGGTCTGGGCAATATTGTTTCACTGAAAAGGGGGGTGGTGGGCCAAGAAAGTTTGCAAAACACTGCAGTGGATGAAATAAATTCCTATATATTTCACACACTACGGGCAATATAGAATATTATCTATATATTTCACACACTATGGGCAATATAGAATATTATCAATTTCATATACAAATCATATTTGTTTGACACACCTTGTAATATTCTTCATTTCTTGCATTTACAACATAAGTGTTTGAAATACAAATAAGAACGAGATATAAATTGAAGCTATCAACAAACACCCAGTTTACCAGGGGGGACAAGTACGCTCTCCCTGGTGTTCAACACGTCTGCTGTCTGATTGCCCTGAGCCAGATCCTGGCCAAGAAACATGAGAGATGAGGAAAACAGCTCCGAGGATATGTCTGCCAGACTTTTGTCTCCATTACCATTCAACCAGATGTGCTTCATGTCACCGTTGGGCAGACTTTTGCCAGACGGTGGCCAGTTGCCATGGCCTGGGAACAGAGAGGAGTTGGTAGATGAGTCATAATGGCTGTAGAAGTTGATGGGGAGGGAGGAAGGGGGAGGGGCATAGTGAATGAGTGAGTGAGTGAGAGACAATATAAATATCCATAAGAAATAAATACAAATGGTATGATATGATAGATAACCAAGGTAGGCAGACAGAAAAACTAACTAAAGAACACAAATTAAACTTATATTCAAGAAAATAAAAATGCCAAATGTATATGATGACAACTAGCAGAATAAAAATGAAAAAGGAAATCAATCTATTAGAGTTTATATTTATAGCACAAGATGGAGATAATACATTATATAAATAATTCAAGCAACAGCAACATTTTTTTCTTAATAAATACCAGCGTGTGTGTGTGTGTGAATGAGTGACAACTTCTTAACGAGGGAAGTGAGAAAATGAAACTTCACTACCGTAAACTTCTCACGCTTCTGTAAATAAAATAGAAATCCTAGGCAATAAATACTGAGATAATGCCAGCAACAACGGTCCCGAAATCCCATGCTATAATGGTGGAAGACTTTTCTTAACACGGGCGGGTTTAGCTAGTCACACTCGCCATGAGCTGTGAGTCTCATGCCTCCTCAAAGCGAAATATAACACTATTATCTGGATAGATGGAAAGGTGCCCATCGAAATATTGAGAAAACAGAGGATACCAGAACGAACGAACAAACTTTATTTTCAAAGGGTCACAAATTGGGCACACAGGCCCATCTTGCATTCACCTTTCCAAACACTCATCTTTCACATAACAATCGTATTTGATCAATAAAGCGTGTTATGTTCATATAATAATATGCATTATATAAATATCAAGGAAAAAAAAAAAGAATGGTGCATACGCACTTACTCATATATATATATATATATATATATATATATATATATATATATATATATATATATATATATATATATATATATATATATATATATATATATATATATATATATACATACATACACACACATCAAAAATCATTCGTCCATCCACACATACACATATTCATACATCTATCCATACATGCACACAAACACACATACAGAGATGCATCAAGTGAGCAGAATGCTCAAAATAGTAACAAGGAAAGATCGACTGGGGAATGGACATGTGAACACTTCTGCCAATTAGGTCAGACATTAGGGACTTAGGGACTTAACTGCTGTGCCATAGGACATGTGTCTGATGGACATTTTATGCCAAATCTGTTCACTGGCAGTGGCAGATTGTAATGCACCTCAGCATGATGACAACGACCTTGAAAAACAACAAGAAATGTATGGAGAGAGGATTGTTCTACGAGTTATCTCTTGTTATAGAGCTGAATTTCATTAGTTCAATAGTTCTTCCAACCCAACAGTCATTTTAAGTGTAATGGTGTAATTAAGAAGTATATTCGGCTAGCGGACTTTACCCATGTTACAAATGGGTCTTGATAGACGTTTTCACTCATGCATTGACAGCCAGACTGGAAACTATGGACACTACACTTCTAGAGGCAATCAACTCCGAGATTCCCTGCCAGCTCCGTTCAGGTCATGGAGGTGAGCCATTATCCATGGCGCTCGGCGGGGACATACGACAGGAGTCTTGCATGGACCCGTTAAACCTGCCCAAGCAGAGTTTTGCCTGAGGTGAAGTACAAAGTAACTTCTTATACACATCACTATGCCTTAACTTTTTTACACGCCTGCGATCGAAATCACCGCACCATACTGCAAGAACATACAGATTGGCTGGGATGGCAGCTTGTCCTCCAAAGGTTTGAGGTATGTCACTGTCAGACTCCACCCAACACTCATGGAAATATATTTGGATATACACACATCAGGTGCTGGATGGTATGGGTTCTAGTGCGTACTGCCATGATTGATGATTCTGGTGATTGTGTAGCACAGTGAACATTTGACTGTCTAAGCTTATCTGTACAGCACCTGATGATGATACCGTGTGCTACACGCAAATGATGTTCTTCTCGACCAACAGTCTTCCCTGTTACTGCTTACTATGAAATGCTAAATGTTAACAAATGCACATTGGTGGTCTCTATAATGAAGTGGTCCAGCGATATGCCTCGTGTGGGACGCTCTCTGCAAGGGGCTAGCTGTTCTGTGGTGAGGCCAAATCATGCGGGATAAAACCTGGTGCAATGAAGCAGATCCTCCCGACTTTAACTTGGAATTATAAAGTATTACTCCATTTGTGCGGTTCCGGGGCGGGCCAGAGACACATAAAGAACAGATGTGCGAACTTTGCGTTTTAAAAAAAAACCCACAACTGAAGACAAAATGAGCAAACACCACCACTACCTGTATTTCCAGAGTTTGCGTTGTTGGTGTTTGCTTTCATCTCATGTTCTGGAGCATCTTCTGTTTCCGACAGATCAGAATCTGATCCATGGTCAAAGTAGCTAGCCAGGTCATCATCATCCTCCGAGTCACTGGAGACGATGCCATCATCAACATCATCATCATTACCTGCAGCAATAAGAACAGATGATCCACATGATTAGTTGCCAGTTTGTACATGCAAGTGCAGGTGTCTCTTAATGCCACGTAGGTAACTTTTGCCTTTTTTGACAAGGAAAGAAGATAATGACACTGACAACAGTAAAAAAAATGGTGCTTTTCAGAACACCTGTTTGACAACAGACAACCAACACTCACAACAGGTAAATGGTGCTTTGTGGAACATCTGTTTGACAACAGACAACCAACACTCACAACAGGTAAATGGTGCTTTGTGGAACATCTGTTTGACAACAGACAACCAACACTCACAACAGGTAAATGGTGCTTTGTAGAAAACCTGTTTGACAACAGACAACCAACACTCACAACAGGTAAATGGTGCTTTGTGGAACATCTGTTTGACAACAGACAACCAACACTCACAACAGGTAAATGGTGCTTTGTGGAACATCTGTTTGACAACAGACAACCAACACTCACAACAGGTAAATGGTGCTTTGTGGAACATCTGTTTGACAACAGACAACCAACATTCACAACAGGTAAATGGTGCTTTGTAGAAAACCTGTTTGACAACAGACAACCAACACTCACAACAGGTAAATGGTGCTTTGTGGAACATCTGTTTGACAACAGACAACCAACACTCACAACAGGTAAATGGTGCTTTGTGGAACATCTGTTTGACAACAGACAACCAACACTCACAACAGTGTAAATGGTGCTTTGTGGAACATCTGTTTGACAACAGACAACCAACACTCACAACAGGTAAATGGTGCTTTGTGGAACATCTGTTTGACAACAGACAACCAACACTCACAACAGGTAAATGGTGCTTTGTGGAACATCTGTTTGACAACAGACAACCAACATTCCATTCACAACAGGTAAATGGTGCTTTGTGGAACATCTGTTTGACAACAGACAACCAACACTCACAACAGTGTAAATGGTGTTCTGTTGAACATTCATATGACAATAGAGAAAGAAGACAGTGATGACAGTGTAAATGAATGCTTTATTGAGCATTCATATGACAATAGAGAAGGAAGACAGTGTAAATGGTACTTTGTTGAGCATTGATTTGACAAAAGATTGAAGATACTGACAACAATAAAAAACCTAGTTATGTTAAAACACCTTCACTGAGATCTGATACTTCTGACATATCAGACATATTGTCGCTGCTTTCACTCATGTCACGGCGCTGAGGTCTCCGTCGTCGCAGACCGCGAAGAGTGGACACCCTGGATTTCTGAAACATGAGAAACCAATGACTGAATGTATTCATGTCTACCATCAACTGCTTAGATGACAACACAGAGCACTACAGGCTCAAATAAGTGAGCTAGAAATGTCAGGTTAAAATGAGATAATCAGGCATAGTGAAGAAACAATGTCAGGCTATAATGACGACTGAAAGTTGAACGCAATTATTATAGTTTAGGAGACGATGTAACAATGAGACATGACCAGTTACGCTGAAGGTGAGAAGCATGGGAATAACCACATATAACAACTGCTATGGCACAGAGCTTGTGTGCCAGTGGTAAACTGGTTCAGCCATTTGTTTGATGCTAGAAAGCTGGGAGTTAAGTTTTGAACTCTGTCCTTAGGTCTCTGGAAGTTACCAATGAAATCCTCAAACCCAGATGTTTCACATATCACTGGGCGTCATCACTTAGATCCTAAAGCAGAGGTGTTTCAGAAACCAATATGTGCGATGACTTTCTTTTTATCTTCTATCTGGCTCGCATCATCGCACGCTTGCTATCTCACACACCGACATCACACGACGAGCAGAAAATGGACGACTGGAAAACAACCCGATACTGTTTCAGCACTTTAATCTTCCACTCGCGGCTTCCTCAGCCGGCACATGAAATAGACTACTGTCCAGGCACACACTATAACTCAAATATCAAAAGTGTCAGTATTACCTTCTATCCGAAATCACAATCGTCCTACACTAGCATCATGAACGAAAACACAACAGCTGTCCTGACAGAAATACTAACATGGCCCGCCGACATATTGCCTGCCAGCTTGGTTTGCCAAGTTGGACGTTGGAGGAACAAAAACACTCAAACACATGTTGAATCCACACATCATCCACCGTTGTCCATGCACTCTGTTCCTAGGCCCAAACGAGACTGCCCCTCAGCCCTTTCTACGGTATTATATAGCCCTCTAATGCCCCGCTTCATTTTTCCCAAATTCTCCGTGATTCATCGCACTTCGCAGGAAGTTCGACTGTCAGCATTTCTCTTCACGTGAATAATTATACTTCACGCAAAGTTTGACTATCAGCATTTCTCTATAATTCCCGTGAAGTTTAGACTCAACAATTCCCGTGTCGTCCCAGTTAGAGTCAAAATATTCCACTCACATTTATTACTGATGTCATCTGTCGGGCATAAATTATCTGGGAGAAAATGAGACTCACTACAATGGGGGTTACCATTTAGGTCCTCAAAACCAGGGTTTCACCTATCCCTGAAAGTCATCACTTGGGCCTTAAAGCAGAGGTGTTTCAGAAAGCCCTGGGAGTTACTATTTAGGTCCTCAAACCTATCCCTGAAAGTCATCACTTGGGCCTTAAAGCAGAGGTGTTCCAGAAAGCCCTGGAAGTTACTATTTAGGTCCTCAAACCTATCCCTGAAAGTCATCACTTGGGCCTAAAAGCAGAGGTGTTTCAGAAAGCCCTGGGAGTTATTATTTAGGTCCTCAAACCCAGGGTTTTACCAATCACTGGGAGTCATCAATTAGATCCTAAAGCAGAGGTGTTTCAGACACCAGTGGTCACCATGAAGGTCCCCAAACCCAGGTGTTTCACATATCTCTGGGAGTTATCAATTAGATCCCAAAGCAGAGGAGTTTCAGACACCAGTGGTCACCATGCAGGTCCCCAAACCCAGGTGTTTCACATATTCCTAAGAGTTATCAATTAGATCCTAAAGCAGAGGAGTTTCAGACACCAGTGGTCACCATGCAGGTCCCCAAACCCAGGTGTTTCACATATCTCTGGGAGTTATCAATTAGATCCTAAAGCAGAGGTGTTTCAGTCAGAAACCTGGGGGGGGGGGGGGGGGGTGCCATTTAGGTCCTCAAACCCAGGTGTTTCACATATCCCTGGAAGTTACCAATTAGGCCCTAAAGCTTGGGTGTTTCAAAAACTCCTGGTGGTCAAGATTTAGGTCCTTGAACCCAGCTGTTCCACAGATCTCTGGGAGTCCCCACCATAGGTCAGTCTCATGCTCTGAGCAAACGGCTGCTTTGTAGAGACAGGCCTAACTATGAGATTAAAACAGGGCAATAAAGATGATCTTCCTGTCTTTACACACAAGGCTTCTATAACATGCCTATTCAATCAGATTTATCTAATAGGTTTACAGTGTTGGTTTCTTGAAGGAATTCCTCCTCTGTGTAACTGTCATTAGATCTTTCTCTACCTGTTTATTGTCTACATTGACATGTCACATAAATATAACTACAGGTTCGAAGCAGTTAAAATCCGTAAGAAGAAGAAAAAGAACATCATAAATGGTAAATAATGAAAACATACAAGTCCCACAAACTGCATGGAAAGGAATGAGGATAAATGAGAAAAGGACTGCAGACAGGATCTGAGCTGAACACTTAAGAAGAAACATGTCAAAGGTGTGATGGCAACATGAATCCTGACATCCTATACAATTACGGTGGACAATTGTTTATGTCAGCTGGTCTTGCAGGCCATACTCATCATCGTGGACTGTGATTCTTACGTCTTCTCCCTACAGCACAACATAAACTATTGGAGTGCAGAGAAGCAAAGGTGCCAACAACAGTGCCCAGGTCCCACTTGGGCAGCCATGATGTAGACATACAATCTAACTAGTCAGTATTAATTGTTCACCCCGTGTGGGTTCAGAGACTCCATTCTGGAGAATAAAGAATAACCCAATGCCCTTTAACAAGCCTGAGCTAGGAGGTGATTAATTAGGGCGTTTCCCTCGAAGCTGGAGTGCATCTGCCTGAGAGGCCAGGAACAAATAATCCAGATCTGTCAAATGGATGTGCATGCAGAACTCAAGTTCTGGATAAAGATCAAAGTCCAGGATTAGACGAACAGCCAGAACTTTCTGCCTGAGAATTCAGCTGTTGAATGCAAAGAAGAAGAATACTACCTTTGACTCAGTCTTGTTGCTGCCGTTTCTCACAGATCTTGCTGTGTTATCCACAGAATTCTGTAGGGTATGATCATCAATCCTCCGCGCCCGTTCATCTTCACTTCCGGACGACTCGTCGTTGTGCATATTTTCCGCTGCAAAAGTAAAAATAAAGCCTTTAATAAACTGTGTTATTGGTATTTCTCAAATCTGATCTGATCTTTTGGTTAAGGAACTCTACTACTATACGTATATATATAAATATATTTATATCCATACGTTCAGCTCCCTCTCATACAGCCTATAATGAAAATCTCATCAGTGAATACAATGCAGCACTTGTGAAGATCGGATTTTCAGTACCAGAATCACTTTATTTATTAGCATTATATGAACAGTAGGGCCAAGCTACTGATAGATTAACTGCTGCTGCTCCTCTGGGTGGTGAGCTACTATATGCTAAAGCGGATGTGTTGAAGGCTCTATGGGATCAAATGGAAGTGCAAAAGAACAGATAGGGAATCCATAATCTTAAAGACTAATTCAACGAGGGGTATGTAGAGGTTCTGGAAGGTATTATAAACTGAAGGCGTCCCAGACTTCCAATCAGGTTGCAACTGGTACTATTAGCATTCCAGCTCGTCGTTGGTTGCTGAAGAAGGAGACGGAGCACATGTGGGAATGTACAGAGTGCAGTGATGTCATTTCTTGATTCATTCGTTCATAGCAGGGCCAAGCTATAAGCTCTTTATTTATAAGTCCTATCAACAGCAGGGCCAAGCTATAAGCTCTTTATTTATAAGTCCTATCAACAGTAGGACCAAGCTATTAGCTCTTTATTTATAAGTCCTATCAACAGTAGGGCCAAGCTATAAGCTCTTTATTTATAAGTCCTATCAACAGTAGGGCCAAGCTATTAGCTCTTTATTTATAAGTCCTATCAACAGTAGGGCCAAGCTATAAGCTCTTTATTTATAAGTCCTATCAACAGTAGGGCCAAGCTATTAGCTCTTTATTTATAAGTCCTATCAACAGCAGGGCCAAGCTATAAGCTCTTTATTTATAAGTCCTATCAACAGCAGGGCCAAGCTATAAGCTCTTTATTTATAAGTCCTATCAGCAGTAGGGCCAAGCTATAAGCTCTTTATTTATAAGTCCTATCAACAGTAGGGCCAAGCTATTAGCTCTTTATTTATAAGTCCTATCAACAGTAGGACCAAGCTATTAGCTCTTTATTTATAAGTCCTATCAACAGTAGGGCCAAGCTATTAGCTCTTTATTTATAAGTCCTATCAACAGTAGGGCCAAGCTATTAGCTCTTTATTTATAAGTCCTATCAACAGTAGGGCCAAGCTATTAGCTCTTTATTTATAAGTCCTATCAGCAGTAGGGCCAAGCTATAAGCTCTTTATTTATAAGTCCTATCAACAGTAGGACCAAGCTATTAGCTCTTTATTTATAAGTCCTATCAACAGTAGGACCAAGCTATTAGCTCTTTATTTATGAACCCTATCAAAAGTAGGGTCAAGCTATAAGCTCTTTATACACTAGCACTATCAACAGTAGAGCCAAGTTATCAGCTCTGTATTTATTAGTACCAACAACTCCATCAGGATTGAAGCGTCTGGTGTGTGACTGATTCTTTCCTCTTATCTCCAGCCATCACAGTGTAATTTTGTTTAACTTTTAAATTTGGCCAGAGCATGCTAAGGAAATCTGGCCTCCCCAGTAACCACTTCTACTCTCTATTTAGGGTCTTAAAAAGTAAAGCTCTTGATTGTTCATAATAATGTATCCCCACTAGCTAAGAAATCTTGTTGGAACTATTATTAAATTACATACTCTTCCACATCTTCTGGAGCAGTCGCATATGGAATAGTGCGAGTGTTGTCAAATTAGTATTGGATCACTGAATATGGCCATCCATGTCTGGGTTTCCATTTTTGGGGGGGGGGGGGGGGGGGTAGACCCACTGCCCCATCAACAAACATTTTGTAATTTGGGGGTTCCCTTTAAAGTCATGGTGCATCTGTCTGAGAGGCAAGGAGCCAACAGTCTGCATAAAAGTAAGCCAGATCTCTTAAATGGATGTGCATGCAAAATTTAGGCTATAGAACAGGACTAAAATCCAGAAGTGGATGAACAATTTTAACTTGCTGCTAGAGTTGGCAGTTGGTGAAAACTAAGAAGATAATGACCACATTGTGGCAACTGGTACAAAATGCTGTAATTGTGTCATCAACAGTAACTGTAAACATACATGATAATGAGGAGCCTGCAATGAGGATCTTGTTTGGGTGCTCCATGTCCTCCAGACATCCCTGCAGCCTGATCACCACGTGGTTGAGCAGGTGAGAAAACAGTGCCAAGAGAAATGCTGTGGCAGCAGTGATGTTTGTGGAACCTGAAAACATCAAAAGACATGGTGAAAGAGGTCACAGGGAAACATCATTCAATCAGTGGAGTGCTAGAGACTCTTTTGTTGGTTATCACAAGCAAATGTCCCTTTAACTCACATCTCAATTGGCTCTTACATGAAAGTAAAACAAACTTAAGTCTAAACCTTCTGTCTCGTGTACTTTCAATCAACTCTGACACAGATGATTCTCCAGGCCATGATGTCATACTGTCCAGCATTTTTTCTCTCAGTCTCCCTCTGCCTCTCCTCCCCTCCAGCTTTCCGACTGTCACGATGTACTCCAGTTTTCTCCTTCTCATCACATGACCAAAGAGTGTAGATTGTCTCTTTCTGATGTGGGCAATCAGTTCTCTCAGCGAGTCAGTTTCTTTCAAGACGTCTTCATTAATCTTTTTATCTGTCCAGTGTATTATCCTTCGTCTACACAACCACATCTTCTAAATAATTTTTGACTAATCTACCAACTGTCCATGATTGACTTCCATATATCAAGATATGATTTATATAGCTTTTAAGAAATTTTTCTTGTCTCAATTGACAAACAGAGATTGCACAAAATCTTCATTTTGTAAAAAGCTGCCTTTGCTTGAGCTGTTCTACATTTAACTTCTATATTTCATCTTCCGTCTAATCTTATCAGGGTACTTAAAACTGCTAAACAGTGAGTGAACAGGTGAAGAGACTTTATAAACTGCTAAACAGTGAGTGAACAGGTGAAGAGACTTTATAAACTGCTAAACAGTGAGTGAACAGGTGAAGAGACTTTATAAACTGCTAAACAGTGAGTGAACAGGTGAAGAGACTTTATAAACTGCTAAACAGTGAGTGAACAGGTGAAGAGACTTTATAAACTGCTAAACAGTGAGTGAACAGATGAAGAGACTACAAACTGACACACAATAAGTTATCCGATAAAGCGCATTTCACCTACCAGTCTTCTCCAGCAGATGTATGGTACACATGAGACAGCCAAAGATTGTGAAGACAATGCCGTTGTCCAAATACTGGAAGGATGCCGGATCACCTGGGTCTAAGAACTCATGAAAATCCTCCAGGTGAAAGTCTCGGCTCTCGGCTCCACCTTGAGGGTCTCTCTGCTTGAGTTGATGCTGGGGCTCGTAGAACATGCATAGGTTGAAGTCTTGCAGGGCGTGCTGACATAGTTGCTGCAGTTCTGTCATCTCAATGCTGCAAAGTTACCAACAAACATGAAAGTTGGCTCAGTTTGATTCTGTTCTGATTACCTGACACGACTTTACCTGATTGGTGTATAAAACTCATTATCTGTTCCTGCTCTATGAGGGACTTGTATTACATGTTATAGACTACCGCCTGGGCCTGCTCACTGTCAGCAGAGCCCAGCTAGAAAGACTGGACTGGGTACAAAATGAGTCCACGAGACACCTTCTTGGCTGCCTAAAAAGACAGCTGGTGGCATGCCATGCCGTATGTCCTGGGTTTGCCGACGATGGCCACCAGACATAAAGTGGCACAGGTGAAGGTGTACTTAAGAATATCAGCAGACATCAACTATTGCTAGCAATAATATAAAAGGTAGCTCCAAAGATGGCCTAGGCAGAAAATCTAATCCAGCAAGCATGTGACGAGAACAGTCACGGAAAATAATGGACGGATACACCAGCAGATATGCATGACTTGTCTAAGGTTGTCATAACACTGTGGAGGTACTGCAGGAGTCATCTACCTGCTACCGTAGAAGTCTAAGTATTAAAATCTGTGAAAACATAAAAATATAGTCTTACTTGTTAGATGTCCCATGAAAAATCTCCAGGAGTTTGAAAAATCGTGTGAAAAATCTTTTAATATCCTGATGTCTGCAAAGAGAAACAAACACTGTGTAAATATTTATAAGAAACAGTAAATCAAATTATGTGCAAGAATAGTTTCTAGCATTGATCTTTCATTTGGGAGCCCATACCAAATTCAAAAATCAATCTAAATGACGAAAACTGAAACACACAACTATGTGGCCAGTTGGCAAGTGTGGCAGTCATTCTATGACCACAGCTCACAGGGTAAATACATGTAGGATACATGCCAGTTCCTGAGATATAACAAAACAATCAGCTTTATGAGTGAAAGAGCTTGGGTAAGAGACAGATGAAAATATAGGACGACTAATGCGATAACTTTCAAAAGCTAACCAACATTACTATATCAACTTTATCATCACGAGGCAGGTCCTTCACAGAATGTTGCTCTTATCAGGGTCTGCCTCGAAGAAACTTGGTCTCTGCCAGCTCTCCCACATCAGGCTTCATGCTCTTTCCTTTCTACCTAAGGTGTCACATATAGGCTGTGCTCATCTTCATGCAGTTCACCCCCTGCCCCTCTTTCCTTTCTACCTAAGGTGTCACTTATAGGCTGTGCTCATCTTCATGCTGTTCACCCCCTGCCCCTCTTTCCTTTCTACCTAAGGTGTCACTTATAGGCTGTGCTCATCTTCATGCTGTTCACCCCCTGCCCCTCTTTCCTTTCTACCTAAGGTGTCACTTAGAGGCTGTGCTCATCTTCATGCTGTTCACCCCCTGCCCCTCTTTCCTTTCTACCTAAGGTGTCACTTATAGGCTGTGCTCATCTTCATGCTGTTCACCCCCTGCCATTCTTTCCTTTCTACCTAAGGTGTCACTTATAGGCTGTGCTCATCTTCATGCTGTTCACCCCCTGCCCCTCTTTCCTGGCACCACTGCTTCTGCTATTATTCTTTCCAGTCCTCTGATAGGATATGGCCAAAATATTTCAGTTTACAAGCCAATCGTCCTTGATGTTCAGATCTTTTAGGATGTCTTTGATTTCTTTTCTTTGAAACTCAAAAACTCATATTTTCTTCCTTAATGACTGTGAGACAGTACATGCTACATCAGCTTTGATAAAATATTAAATGGAGAAAGGATTAAGAAACTTGTGATAGCTGAATGTAATACAGTAATATTGAGAAACAGCAACAGTAACATTGAGAAATAGCAACAGTAACACTGAGAAATAGAACTGGGATTATGTCTATGAACAGATCTTCTTCCTCCAGAGACCTATGCGAGATGTGAAGAATTAAATGCTTTCTTTAGGTTGGTCTTAATGCTGCCACTACATCTCAACTGCTGTATTTTCATTGCATCATGTCATCTTCTTCTTTGCGTTCACCAGCTGTACACTCTGGCGGAAAGCTCTGGTTGCTTGTCCATTACTGAACTGCAGTCCTGCTCCAGAACCTGAGTGTTGCGTGTGCATCAGTTTTACAAATCTCATTATCTTGAATACAGACTGCTGGTTCCTTGCCTCTCCGGCAGATGCACTCCGCCTTCAAAGGAAGCTCCCCAATTAATCGACTCTTACGACATGCTTTTCCCCACAATGAGGCCCCAGAACCCACACGGGGGGCATGATGTCTGTTTTAGACATGTCAAATGGCCAAACCATCTCATCTATTATCCTTTAATTAACTGGTATAACATCCCCACCAAGTACCAATGGTCCATAAAATATAGACATAGCCCTATATGCCCAGGGAGCCTGAAGGCGTGCAAAAGGGTCTTTTGCCTCCTTTTTAAAAAACTGATCTCACCCCTGATCTTCTAATCTCTTAGTTTTAAATTAAATGTTTCCCTATTACCCCGGCAGCCCTCCTGAGTCTAAACATCTGTTATGATTTTTGTGCTTGTTAATGGTAGTTAAAGGTTCAAGTTTGATACTAGTGGCACAATGTTGTTACCTCTGCTCATCAGGGGGAAGGTCTCTTGCCTGTGGTGTGTTCAACTCATGAAATCTCTTGGCATTTTTCTCAAACAAGCGCGTCAAGTTACCCCGGGCTCCATCAAAAGGTTTCTCACAAGCAAGGCTGTGGCATTAAAAAAAAAAAGGAATGCTTAATAACTGATTTACAGGAACACCTCACGCTCACAACCATACACACATGTAGTGTTATAAATGAATACAAGTATGACTGCACTCTCAGACATCTGCATTCATACACCTCCATAAACCACACCTGGACAGCTGCATTCATTCGCCTCCATAAACCACACCAGGACAGCTGCATTCATACGCCTCCATAAACCACACCAGGACAGCTGCATTCATACGCCTCCATAAACCACACCTGGACAGCTGCATTCATACGCCTCCATAAACCACACCTGGACAGCTGCATTCATAGCCTCCATAAACCACACCTGGACAGCTGCATTCATACGCCTCCATAAACCACACCTGGACAGCTGCATTCATACGCCTCCATAAACCACACCTGCATTCATACCCTCCCATAAACTATACCTGGACACTGTGTTCGTACCCTCCCATAAACCATACATAGGCAGCTGCATTCATTTCCTCACATAAACCACTTTTTTCTCTCATGCAGAACAGGATAACTTCAATGGGACTGGTCAGAGCCATGTCATACGTGTGCCTGGCCAAGGCAATCGGCTTGAGCAGTTTACTGTGACTGGATGTGCCAGTGTAAGAGCCGACCAATGGGATGGTAGAGGAAGGCCTTGGCTGGTTCCCATATCTCAGCCGGTATCCAGGACCATCTATCACTAAACAATGAAAGAGAACTTTCTCACGTGAGACGTGGGGCCCCATTGTGGCAAACACAAGAACAGACAAACTGTCTATCCAAAGGCAGAGTCGTCAGAGTCGACTAACGGGGAGCTTCCTTTAAAGCTGGAGTGAATCTGCTTGAGAGACAAGGAACCAACAGTCTGCATACAAATGTGTCAGATCTGTAAAATGGAAGTGCATGCAACACTCCGATTCTGGAATAGGACTAGAGTGCAGAAGTGGATGGACATAAGGAAGAAGAAGAAAAAAGAGACGCCTAATCAGGTCCAATTCACTGATGCAAACTGGAATTGATTCAAGAACCGACATCACAGCACCAGGGGCATTCCAATAAGCGCTCCATCCCCATCTTCAGCAGCCAGTGAAGAGTTCAGATACTAATGGTGCCAGTAGCTTTCTGATTAAATGTCCGTCTTGCCTTTCCTCTGAGCCTTGAGCTTCTGCCAGAACCTCTCGTCACCCACAACTGCATCAATCTCACCAGACTGTGGTGATCCATCTGCTCCTCCGCATTGTACACGCTCTCCCACAAGGGCACTAACCACGTCTGCCCTATCATGTAGCAGTATCCCATCAAGTTGTGCAGAGCCAGCCAGTCTGTTCACCTGTTAATTTCCCAACACACCGGCGCAACCCGGTGAAAAAATCCAGACAATACTCCTCACTTGTGTCCTCCGCAGCGAAGCATGCCACTCTGCAGGAAGCATACCTGTTCTGATCTTCCTCAGCATGCTTTCTGAATCAGTTACAATTACAATGTGTGTGTGTGTCGTGTTCTCTACCCATCGGAAAGATGCACACTCAAACAATCAAGCTATGAGACACCGACTACATGGATTTCTTTTGTTACAGGTTCAGACCAAGAATGTCATAGAGATTTTGAATAATTTGTGCACTGCAAACATCAGGCTGCAAGAAACACACAACTACACAAAATGAACTAGACAACAAGCAGCACACTGAAATTACCATCTAACATAATGGTAGGCAGCCTCACATCCAGAATAGCGAGACCCTGCCAGTGTCCCCAGCTGATTATGGGGCATACCTGTATGCAGGGAGAACATAAATGTCATATCAGAGAAAACAAACAAAAACGAGCAAAGACTGTGAAATGTGGAAACACCCAAAAATACTTTTTTCTTTAATGATTTAGGTTCCTACTATTACTGCGAAGCAGCCATTCCTACCCCAAGATGGCCTGCGGTATTATTAACTGTCGCCAGAATAAACACCAACTGTGGCCAATATGTCTATACGACAGCTTTGGTAGAGGTTGCCACTGCAGTGTATAGATGTTGTGGGTACATAATTATTTTTACATATACATTTATTTTGAAAGAATATTTGGCGTGAACAAAATCAATTTGTTTGGGGTCAACGTTAGGGCATAATAAACTTATGATGATGTCACTGTGCCCTCTATAGCTGTCTCAGTCAACAAAACTGTTTTCTTAGTCAAAGGGAAGGAAAGCAGTTATGTTAAAAGTGTCAACAGAAGTTATCACATGAAGCTTGCTATAAACTCATCATGAAGACCTAAAAGCTAAAAAAAAGTGTGTGAAAACATTCTGCCCTGTGACCATGTAATTTATGGAAGCACATACGTACCAATTTCTGGGAAAAGCATGAAAGCCTGGTGGTAGTATCGGCAGGCAGTAGTTGGGATTGACATTCGATCCACATCACAGATATAGCGGGCTGCAAAAATAGTAGGTTAATAAACATCTAAAGTTACCGTTTTTATTACCAGGGCAGACAAGCAAAACAAAGAACTGCAACAGTAACCTACTATACATGCCATAAGAGGGAACCAAGACTGTCCACAATATCCTTAAAAAAAAAAACTAGCTGCTGTTGAGTGTCCCCACACTGGACAATAGGTTACTTCGTAACCGTGTAGTGGTGCCCCAATATAACTGTGCTATACTGCTATGCAGTTGAACCGGATTTCCAGGATTTGTATCTGTTTGATTCCCACCCTTGAGATGTTGATCTTGGAAAGCAAACAGTTATTTAAAAAACAAAAAACAAAACTTGATCAGATCAAATAATCCAAAACTGAGTATAAGGTAATGCCTGGGAAACAAAGGTAGCTAGCATTACGCTGACCACATCACTTCTCGAGGGCCAACTGGTCTATAAAATATAAGTCCAGCCTCATATGCCCGCTGTGCCACTGGTGTAAAAAGAGTCTTTGACCTATTTCATGACAGTATATCTACAAGTCACTTCTAGTAAGCTCTGTTTTGACACTGCCTCATTCTAATTCAGACAACCAGCTTCTTTCCAACAGCATGACCATTCGTTGCCTAAAGGAAACACCCTGATCAGCAGTACACATTCAATAAAGTTAATTTTTAATCTCCAAGGACTGAATAAGATTCTCACAAATGTAATAAGCTAAACAGATGACAAAGACATTTGACAAACACATGTTAAGAAAATGCCTTCAAATCACTGTATGTGAATCATCCTACCACCATACCCTGCTTCATCTGCCTGTAAACCTCTAGTTTAAACTAAGTGCAGGTGGAGATGAGATCCCTGGTTCTCAAATACCACTCAGATGAAGGGAAAGCAGGAAGGAAGAAATCAACTTACAAATATCACCCAAGCAGATAAGACACCGATGGCAAGCTCTCTGGGCCCACTCCTGGATGCTGGGATTGATTGTCTTCACACTGCTGGTGTCATTCCTTCGACCTGCAAACAACAAAAATTTGACCATGGGCCAATTGGCAAACAATCAAGGGTGAGAATTCTACAAGTGTATAAGTGTAAATTATTTCATAAATGATATGTTATTGACTATTCTAGAAGGATCATGAACAGCATCAGAGAATACCCAGGGGGTATTTGGTAAACAACAAACTTCTAGACAGTGATGAGGACAATAGACAAACTGTAACATTAACAACCTGACCCCCCTAATAAGACAGTATTTGAGACTTATGCTTCTTCACTGAATCTTTCCCTGGTCCTTAGATCCATCTCAGGGCAAGCTGTCCAATCATTAGCTAAGTCCGACAGTTTCCTTCACAACTTTGCTGCCAGACCGTTCATCTCTAACTTTCCTTCACAACTTTGTCATATTGTTCCTCTCTAACTCTCTTGTTTATATTTTAGGTGCTGTCTCCTTTAAACTCTGCATTTGTGACCATGTGTTGATATTTATTACTCTGAAGATACTTGTGCCTTATGCGACTGACTGCAGGTGTAACTACTGATGTGCTGTAACTACTGCTTCCGTCGACGATGAACTGCATTTTTAGTTTAGGACTGATTGTGTTGGCACTTCTGACTGCTGCCTTATGCAATGCGTATACATGCTGTTAGATTTGTCAAGATTGCAGTCTGTGTCAATTTGTCCACAAGGGACAGGTTTTCATTGGCTGGAGCAACTTTGGGGTCTCATTTGCTATGAAGTTAAGGACTGCTACTGCGTGATTTTATGACATCACAGGTACCAGTTCATAAACCAGACAGAAATACTGTTATAATGTCCCTAATAAATAACCCAATCCACTGGTTCATCTTTCTAGTCCCAGATTTCTTTGTGAACAAAAATGAAACTGATTTCTGTCAGATGAGATCAACACAGAGGATCCTACCTGCTCTGATTTCAGGTAACTGGTGGTAGTCAATGACACCTGCCAGCCGCAGGGAGAACTCTCGCTGTAGCCGGAAGACAAGATGCTGGTAGTAACCTGCCGCAGCAGCCAGGTGTGTCCGATAGGCAGTCTCCACTGAACCATGATGTCGAATGTGCTGTAGAGAACAATGGACATGTGGTAGTCAAAACACTGAACCTAACTAACCAGTCTGACACCACACAGAACCTAACCAGTCTGACACCACACAGAACCTAACCAGTCTCACACCACACAGAACCTAACCAGTCTCACACCACACAGAACCTAACTAACCAGTCTCACACCACACAGATCTAGACAAGTGTGACATGTGGTAGTCAAAACACTGAACCTAACTAACCAGTCTCACACCACACTGAACCTAACTAACCAGTCTCACACCACACAGATCTAGACAAGTGTGACAAGCTGGCTCTACAGGGCTAACAACCAGACCTCTGCCGTGCTCACTTCTCACATTTTAAAATGTGCATAACACTATCAGTCCTTCATATATGCAATAAAATAAACTGGAGTAAATATGACATTAATTTCTAAATAAGACAACATAATCAGCATTTTAATTCTTGAATATTTTTTTTCTGAAGAAACAGTGTTGAATGTAGAATTAAGAATCGACCTCACAGCACTCTGGACACTCCTATAAGTGCTCAGTCCCCACCTTCAGCAGCAAGCAAAGAGTTCCAATTCCGATAGTGCCAGTAACCGCCTGGTTGTATATCCGCCTCATCCTTCCACTGAATCTTGAGCGTCGCCAGATTCCTTGGTAACTTTTCGCAGCATCCTTTTCCTTAGACTGTAATGATCTATTTGCGCCTCTGCACTGTTCACTCATTCCCAAATGGCTAAAGATACAATGTAACAGGCAGTGCCATCAAAGAAGATAGAATGCCGCAGAGCCACCCTCAGAATGTCAAATGCTGGATGATCAAGATTTCTAAGTTCACCAACACTTACATCTTTGCTTCGTTTAACAACTTGGATGACATCGTAGAAAACTTTGCGCCATAATACTTCCTCTGCTTTACGTCCATACTCTACAGGGTTGAAAAACATCAACCGCTCACAGTAATCTTTCAGCCTGAAAATGTGCACAGAATAAGGTTACATGATAATTTTTCTGAGTGAATTATCTACATAATCAATTGTCAGTCAAAGCTAGGTCTAAACATTATCATTTTACAGCAAGAACTTCATTTAGACTAGAATTTAGGAACTTATCCATATCATTTAAATAAACTGTATAAAATAAAATGTAAAAAGTAAATACAGTGTTAGAGCTCTATATGAAAGGGGGGGGGGGGGGGGGTGGATGTCATTACCACGTTAGTCACACCTACTTCACACCACCTGGCACATATTTTAGCTGGGTCAACATGGGAGCCTGGTTATTTTTGAAAGACAAAAATCTGTGTCAATATGGATTTGGGTCCTTGCACCTTCAGATTTGCAGGCCAGTATCTATCTGTCTATCAACTCATTTGCAGGCCAGTATCTATCTGTCTATCAACTCATTTAAAAAAGAACAAGAAAGATTTCTTTTTATACATATATGATTTATGGTTAGTAATTTTCAAAACATAAAAAAAAATTCATTCTCTATGAGTTAAGAGAAATGTAATACATAACAGGAGAGAAACAATGGTAAAGTTTAAAAAAAAAGAGAAAGTATTTTCCTGAGTCCATCATGATCATATCAGAACACAATGAGTGCAACAACAACAATAAAAAAACATTAATAAAGATGGCATGGGTCATTAGTAAAAAATGGTAAAGGGGTAATTAGCAATTTGGATGATAACCAGAAAATACAGCACTATACAGTACTTACTTATTGCGCAATCCAACGGCATCTGGGCTGAACACTTCCCGATAAGCTTTCTTTCCTTTGTTGATTCCATCAAGACATTTAATTGACTCCAGAGCAGCTCTATTGTTTTTTTTTTTTTTTTTAAAGAAAGAATAAACAAACAAATGACAAATAGCAAGACTAATGTCAGACACTAATCAAGGATGCTAAATGACTTTATAACACAAATACTAGGCTACAGTATTACAAGATAAACTAATTCCCCTTTAACAACTTCCTTCTCTGAGAAATTTCCTGTTTATATTTTATGAAACCAGTTAAAACAGTCAAGTCAGTTATCATGAACACATTCTAAATACCATTTCAAAAGTTACCCCCACCCCCAATAACAGATTAGTGCATTCTACAATTCTAGTGGCCACTGACAGAAGGGAAGCAACTCTTTCATGTCAGACAAATATATGCTATGATAACAGAAATGAGGCTGAGACCCTTGACAGAACCCCAGCTGGCAAAAGAACAGATGGGATTTTGGAAGCTTCTCAGATGCAATCTTCACACCTGAACAGTTCATTGAAAACAAGATTGAATACTTTAAACAAAGAAGACACAAACAATAGACTGCACAATTTATTGCCTGGCATATTTCGCTGTATCTCATCAGGTGCATACTACTATAGCAACAATTAAATAAACGATGCAAATAAGTGAATCTTTAACAGATCGAGATACAGCGAAATATGCCAGGCAATAAACTGTGCAATTTATTGTCTGTGTCTTCTTACTCAGATGTATAAGTTATAGTACTTTGATGATGATGTATATGTTTATCTGTATGCCCTATTTATTGTGGTTACTGTTTCCTGAGGACATGAAATGAGCACATTTTCTTGAGTTGACCAAGTTTCACTGCCACAAAGCTGAGAGCACAAGTTGGGTAGACCAGGGATTTAGTTTAAATTGTGAGTCTTCTGTTCTCTCTATAAGGTCCACAAGAGTAGTTCATACTATTTTAGACCTGTTTCTGTATTATCTTAATTAGCATGCATTTTCATCACTATTATATTTATACATTAACCACTGCATTATCTTATTAATGTAAATTTCCAGCAGCACATAATTTGGCCTGGCTGCCAACAGAGTTTATTTCATTATAACTATAATGGTCACTTTTACTTCCAACCCTGTCTCAAATACTGGACACAACAATAATGCAAACAGCAGAGAATCAAGAGTAGCAACAACCTAAGGTTTTTTCGCAATATCCTACCCCATATGACGTCACAGGACAGTCCAACATTTTAAAGGGTGGTAAGACTTTGTTTCCAGGCTTTTATGATGCTTTTAACGACTCCAAAACATCTAGAACTAGCCCTTACCCCAACCTACCTACGTCACACGAGATAGTGCAGCCTAGGTCTCATGACGATGTAGCCTTTCTACCACCCCCTAAAATATTAGACTGTCCCACGGACCTGTGGATTTCCCCTGTTTGGGGTAGGATATAAAGAAAGCACCCAAACTTATTCATAAACTGTTTATATCACAACTAAACTGACATGAGGGCTAACAAGACTGTGGCGGCCAAGTGATATAGAGAGAATGGCAGAAAAGAGACTGATAAACTGCGTAAACAGTAGTTGAACATAGACAGACAAGGAGCAAACCAAGACGACGGTAGAGAGATATTTATCAGACCAACCTACAAACACCTGGGGTCACAGAGACGAATGGAGGCGGTCGTTCGTTATCTGTGGCAAAAAAAAACTGCAAAGGCTCGAATGCTAAAGATGTTTATTCTCAGCATTCTACTTCTTTCTGTGCCCGGCATTGAGGAGCTATCTGTGCTCTATGTCATCTGATATCTGTGCTCTATGTCATCTGATATCTGTGCTCTATGTCATCTGATATATGTGCTCTTTGTCATCTGATATATGTGCTCTTTGTCATCTGATATATGTGCTCTATGTCATCTGATATATGTGCTCTATGTCATCTGATATATGTGCTCTTTGTCATCTGATATATGTGCTCTATGTCATCTGATATATGTGCTCTATGTCATCTGATATATGTGCTCTATGTCATCTGATATATGTGCTCTTTGTCATCTGATATATGTGCTCTTTGTCATCTGATATATGTGCTCTTTGTCATCTGATATATGTGCACTATGTCATCTGATATATGTGCTCTATGTCATCTGATATATGTGCTCTTTGTCATCTGATATATGTGCTCTATGTCATCTGATATATGTGCTCTATGTCATCTGATATATGTGCTCTATGTCATCTGATATATGTGCTCTTTGTCATCTGATATATGTGCTCTATGTCATCTGATATATGTGCTCTATGTCATCTGATATATGTGCTCTATGTCATCTGATATATGTGCTCTATGTCATCTGATATATGTGCTCTATGTCATCTGATATATGTGCTCTATGTCATCTGATATATGTGCTCTATGTCATCTGATATCTCAACATGTTGATTTTGTTTATATTATTACCTGTGAAGCTCTTTAAACTATCCCCTCACATTTGCTCCTGCCTATCCTGGCTCTGTGTATTTATGGCACAAGAGCAATTTCTCTCATAACTTGTTTTTTGAAAAGTCCTAGTAATTTCAGCTGCATTATCTATGGTCCTGATTAGCTCTATGGCAGTGAAGTATTTATGGTAACGCTGAGCCAAGTCCATATCTTCATAAGGCAATGTTCTATGCATGTGTTTTTTATACTTCAAACAGCTTTACATTATTTAAATCCTCAAGTCCAGTATGGGGATAGGATAGGCTTGCTTAATGTTTTGAACTTATCTGCGCCTTTCGCCCCAACCCATCCGATTTCAGCAAAGTCCTAATTAATTAGTTGCCTTTTACAACATGTTTTGTAGGTGGCAGTGGATGTATTCTTTTTTTTCCCCCTCAAACATGTTGCCCTGGAACCCACAACGCGAGTCAGGGACTATTGTGAACAATGTATCGAAAATTATCCTCCCCTCGACGCTTTAATGGATACAAAAACTACTCCTTCCCATGCCGCTTCAACAAGAGCTCAAAATCTATTCCTTCCCAATGACGCTTCAATGGATCGTAAAACTGTTCCTCCCCACGGCACTTAGCTTAACGTCTAAACATTGCTATCCATCGAGCAATGACGGCAGAAGTGGAAACTGATGATGATGGCCTAAATGTTTTTACTACATAACCTTCGTTATGTTTTTTGCAGTGAATAATTTTGGACCCTATTATTACTGTAGCGACTACGGCGTTCGGCAATTTCCATTACCATGGAAACCGTTCGAAACTTGTTTGGGAAATGTCGGCTGGTTTCGGGATGGGTCCTAATCTCTCATGAAATTTTGCGATTGGTGTGATTTTCACCACCTATAAATAGCTGAAAACGGCGGGAACGAACCCGATTAACAGCGCATGTCTACGACAGCCGGGCATTCTCTGTTTTTCTGTTATATCAGTTTTATTAAAAATAGCGATAAGTATTCAAGGTTGGCTTTAGGCTTTAACATTACTCGAACTGGTAATGCTAGTTATAATTGAATTCTCCGTCCAATTTACATTTGTTTTTAAAATTTCTTTCTTATCAGCGGCTTTTTAGATTTACAGTGATATTTTTCAGGCAATCGCTATTATTGCTGTGAAAATAGCGGTAAGTATGAATTAAAGGTTGGCTTTAGGCTTTAATATTACTCGTACAGGTAATGCTAGTTATAACTGAATTCTCCATCCAATTTTACATTTGTATATAAAATTTCTTTCTTATCAGTGGCTTTTTAGATTTACAGTTACATTTTTCAGGCAATCGCTATTATGTGGCTGTGTCTCATTGTCTGCCATCTTGTCCAATGCAAACAAAGCCAAAACGATAAGTGCGCAGTTTGGTTGCACAGAGAAAACTTCTTGTTTCTGAGACGCAAGTTTTCAACAGGTGTTTTTCACATCTCATCTCCACAAAACCTACATATCTCAGCTCACAAATGACATACAAGCCTAAATGAGGCACCATTGGAAAGAGATTGTTTACAGCTATCTAACTGTGCTGGTTTTATTGGTGTAGAGGGCATTTTGAAAATTTGACTAAAGTACTTAATTACTGTACTCTGAAGAGTGCCATATTTACTATTATTTCTATTAACTATACTGCAGTAATTATTCATAGTATAATAATTTATTAGTTACAATACACAGTTGGTAAACAAACAGCAGTAAACAGTGACAAACATGAGGAAGATAAAATACACAATACGGCGTTATATGATGACGATAACATGTGGGTAAAGTGGGAATATTTTATATTCAATTTTCACATTTTGAAAGTTTGTTTTTCTCTCGTGTTGTTATTCAACAAGCCTGATTACCTGTAAATACGCTTAGCCCTATCTGTATCAGATTTAGAGCCATTGTTTGGTTCTGCTCTCTTCTTCATTGCCTTCGTCAAAGGTCAAATGGCACAGTCCAAGAAATAACTGTCTCACGCTGGCATTTCTTGAACACACAGACTGTTCCAGGAACCATCGTGAAGGCCATTTTGTAAAAATATCACGTGACTTGCTTGTCACATAAAATTACAAACCTGCAGATATTTCAATAAGAACACGCCGTGTTTCTATTTCTAATAATAATCTGCCATTTTTAAGAATTAATTTCAAATACAATCTTGCATTTTTTCCAAAAGAATCTTAATATTGTTATGTGTAGTATTGTTTTATTTTGTGTTTCAATTTTTACAAATTTGTTCCACTAAACTTTGAAGAATTTTATTTACCCGTTGTATCACAATGGCCGCGCTCCTGAGAAAAACAGGCATGAAAATAAATAACACGAGCTTTTTACTAAAAGCTTGCAGCATTAACTTGAACAGATGTCCTTCTCAAAGCTCTGGGACCAGACGCGTTTCATCTAATTTTAACAATCAACATGTCAGCAATGCGTGTAGTATGTTTGCAAAAACACACGCGAGGTTGTCAATGTCGTCTGTCACTCCTTCGTTGCATCATCTGCTGGCAGAAGAAACAAGCGGAGTTTGTGGTGTTAAAATGTCAAGGACTGGGAAAAGTTGCATTTAGGAGGCTTACACATTCGTCTGGTGCAAAGCTGACATCTTTAGGGTCGTTTTCTAAATGCAGATCATTTCACAGACACGCTAGAATCGCGAGCTTCCAGCGATACGCAGTTTGGCCTGGCTGCCATAAGGGTTTATTTAGCGAAAACTCGAACATTGTGCAATACAATGGGCGCTGTTTTTCTACCTCTTCTCAACTACTAAATAAAAAAAGTGATGATGATGAGGGCGAAAATACTCAGAAAGACGATAATGCTCAAGGGCCAACGCAGGAAGAAGCACAGGAGATTGTGAGCAACTTTAACCCAGTCGGTGCATTGACGACGATGACCATTCCATCATACCTGCCAATTGTCCCAATTATTGCCATCAGTAGACATCCTGTCTTTCCACGATTTGTGAAAATGATTGAGGTAATTTTTTAAAAACATATCTGAATACAAATGTTGAATATGTTTGTCTCTCTTACTCTTAGCAGATCTTAGCTCTTGCAACCATAGAAAATGTTGCTAATTGAACAGTAACCACAATAAATAGGGCATAAAGATAAACATATACATCATCATCAATGTCCTATTTTTTTTTTTTTTTTTTTTAACGTATCCAGAAACCATGAGTTGTAAACCCTTTGGCTCGGTACTATGGATATCGCAACCCTTCGGCCTCGATTCCATTATAGGTACCGTTAATCTGGGAGAAATGTGGCTTTTCTGCCTACCCCCGGGAGTGAACCCGGACCACAAGGAGTTCGTCACCCGGCCGACACCACATATCATTGGGGCACCAGCTGTTGCTGAGAATGTCTGATCAGCTCGCTCTGCTTCTGTCAGTCAGATGCCGCGGCCAGCCCATGTAGCCAGATTCTTTATCCAGGCCTGTCTTGATCTGCCTGTAGTTTTCTTTTCTGAGGTATCTTTTAGAGAGGCAGCTGGATCTTATACTGCGATCTTCGTTGTTTGTGATCACTTTAAATGTATAAAAAGCAAAATCATGACATTTGCAAAATGATTTACTATAGTTTGTAGAACAATCAGTTAAGTGCTACCTCTGTAATACAATTTTATTGCAGTGGATCTATAGCTCTTTCAGTTACGGCTTTAGTTGCACAAAATGTGTTGCATACATCCATCTCTTCTTGTTGACGTGGTTAGTGCCTTGTGGGAGAGCGTGTACAATTCGGAGGAGCAGATGGATCACCACAGTCAGGTGAGATTGATGCAGTTGGGCGTGGCAGATGCTCGAGGCTCAGAGGAAAGGCAAGACGGACATTTAATCAGAATACTACTGGCACCATTAGTATCGGAACTCTTCACTGGCTGCTAAAGATAGGGACTGAGCGCTTGTGAGAATGCCCTGAGTGCCCAAAATGCAACATGCATCACCTTGCATGCTCAAATATCTAAATTGATTTCTATAGTTTTGGCAGACCAGAAATTTAAAAAAACAAAAACATGTGAAATGGTCTTTGATAGACTTGAACAGTAACTGATTACATTCAGTGTCTGCATGAGACATAATGTGTTAGAAAGCATGCTCTTGTGGGCTGATTATCCTGGATGACTGTTTTAGCCAGGGGGCAGTGACTAGCATATTGACAATTGTTTTGTATTCGACTCGTCACTGAGATGATTTTAAAAATAAAACAAGGATTGAGATGGGCTCCCAGAGGTGACCCAACCTAAAATGGCTACAGGAAATATTGTGGGAAGTAAAGGTGGCTGGGGTGATGTAGACCCATTGAGGGCCATTTGATCATTAAAACTAAGGAGCTGGCTTAAAACCCATGACTGCTGGGTCAGCAAACAAGTGCACTAGCCACTGAAACATGCTGTGTTCAGTTGCTAAATGATAAAACAATCGGTGACCATTGTTACTAGAGATAAAACCAGAACAGATTTTGTGCATGTCTCCTTGGTTCTGGTTCCAGTTATCTTACATTTTCTGTTGATTTTTGTCTTTCCTCTGGTGCCCAGACAAGCAGCAGACGGCGCTAAGGTCAACCATGATCCTTCTCTGTTTGTTGGTAAATTTTTCCATTAGATTTGTTCTGTCATAAGCACATGAACTTGTTGCTGGCTGCTGAAGATAGAGATGGACGGACATACAGTCATGTTTCTATTGGTGCCATCATAGTTCTAACTTGTTGCTGGCGGCTGAAGATAGAGATGGACGGACATACAGTCATGTTTCTATTGGTGCCATCATAGTTCTAACTTGTTGCTGGCGGCTGAAGACAGAGATGGACGGACATACAGTCATGTTTCTATTGGTGCCATCATAGTTCTAACTTGTTGCTGACTGCTGAAAATAGAGATGGACGGACATACAGTCATGTTTCTATTGGTGCCATCGTAGTTCTAACTTGTTGCTGGCTGCTGAAGATAGAGATGGACGGACATACAGTCATGTTTCTATTGGTGCCATCATAGTTCTAACTTGTTGCTGGCTGCTGAAGATAGAGATGGACGGACATACAGTCATGTTTCTATTGGTGCCATCATAGTTCTAACTTGTTGCTGGCTGCTGAAGATGGAGATGGACGGACATACAGTCATGTTTCTATTGGTGCCATCATAGTTCTAACTTGTTGCTGGCTGCTGAAGATAGAGATGGACGGACATACAGTCATGTTTCTATTGGTGCCATCATAGTTCTAACTTGTTGCTGGCGGCTGAAGATAGAGATGGACGGACATATAGTCATGTTTTTATTGGTGCCATCATAGTTCTAACTTTTTTGCTGGCTGCTGAAGATAGCGATGGAAATGTCATGAATGCCGTAGTGTCATGTTTTGACCCAGTTCAGCTTATTTTGGAAGGAAAGCTACAGATGCACAATTGATGATGATACAGTTGGGAAAACATGAAGAGATTTGATTTGATTCAAAACCGACATCACAGCACTCAGGGCATTCTCATAAGCGCTCCGTCCCTATCTTCAGCAGCCAGTGAAGAGTTCCGATACTAATGGTGCCAGTAGTATTCTGATTAAATGTCCGTCTTGCCTTTCCTCTGAGCCTCGAGCATCTGCCACGCCCAACTGCATCAATCTCACCTGACTGTGGTGATCCATCTGCTCCTCCGAATTGTACACGCTCTCCCACAAGGCACTAACCACGTCAACAAGAAGAGATGGATGTATGCAACACATTTTGTGCAACTAAAGCCGTAACTGAAAGAGCTATAGATCCATTGCAATAAAATTGTATTACAGAGGCAGCACTTAACTGATTGTTCTACAAACTATGGTAAATCATTTTGCAAATGTCATGATTTTGCTTTTTAAAAATGGTAAAAATCACTTTGAATGCTGAATAAAGTGTGACAAGTTTTGTGCATATAATTTTATGTAAAATATTGTTTTTCTGTTGAAGTTTCTGTCATGTTTCAGATTTATTTTGTTGTCTTTTGTCAGGTTACGCACCCAGATTTGATGGAACTTCTCCGTAGGAAGATCAAATTTAACCTACCCTATGCTGGGGTATTTTTGAAAAAAGATGAAAAGTGAGTTGACTGGAACTATTTACTTTTTCTGATGTTTCTTAAACCTCTTTTGCTGCCTCCTTCTTTTTCCCTACCTCTCTCTTATGATTTTAAACCTTTTGCTTTTTTTACTATTTCTGTTTGGTTTTTTTACCGACTCACCAATGTATTTCTTTCATGTGTTGTTGTGTACAGTATATTAGTATTTTTTTATTAAGTACATATAGTGTGCAAAAATATTAACATGTGCATTAACTTATGTCTTTGAATTCATTGTTCACCGTAATTTTTTTTTATTTGTGGGGGGGGGGGGGGGGGGGGGGGGGGGGGTGGGCTACAGTAGACTATTGAAAAAATGAAATAATTGGGGTGTTAAATATCTGACGTAAACAAGCTGTCAGTTTGTTGGGAGTAAACTCTGTTGACAAGCAGTACAACATAGACCTGATGGGGCCAGCTGTACATGGCATGCTACATTCGAGGATGCCTGGGAAGTTTTAGTACTTGTCTTCTACACCTCATTGCTTTCTATCAAGAAATCTCTCAGTGTTCATCATTATCTCTGTTTTTGGAATGTGTTTCATCTCTTCTTCTGGTCTTCATTGTGTGATCAGGTTCTTTCTGGTGCATGTGTGTGAGAGAGATAGAGATCAGTTGTTCATGTACTCACTGTATTGATTTTTTTTTTTTTTTCCATCTGTATAATTTGATGTTTTCTGTTAATGAAGATGTCTTCAAAGAAATGAACGCATGAAGAGAGCTGAGTACTCACATCAGAAGCAAACAATCTACATTCTTTGGTCACACTCTAAGGAGGAGGAAACTGTAGTGCATCATGTCCGGGGGAAAGGGGGGCAGATAGAGAATGCTGAGTGGTTAAGATCATCGGTGTCCAGATTGATTGAAAGTACCGAAGGCTGTGGATAGACATGCCTGCCAACACCACTCAGCTTGGACTGAAAGAACAAGATTATCAAACGGTCCGCATGTCCTGCCCTTTGCGTCGCTCTCTTCATAGCACGCCTGAAAGTCATTTTCTTTCCATAGCCAATTCTATAGCCCTGTGGGCTTTCGTAGCCAATGTCTTATATCCACATTCTTGGTGGTCGGCCTCTGCCTCGTTTTCCAGAAATCAGAAGATTATCACTAATTGATTTTGATGCTTTTTATTTTCTAGTCTCAGATGTATATTTTTATGACGTTGTCTAGTTCTAGTCTTATAATTTTGATGTCCTGTTCTCGTTGTGTTGATTTTAATGTTGATTATTGCAATGTTGCCAGCAATGAGTCTGATGTGGTTGACCGGCTGGATGACGTCTATAAAGTGGGGACGTTTGTTCACATAACGGAGATGCATGATATGGGCGACAGACTGCGCATGATTGTCATGGCACACAGAAGGTAATACTGCTCTTGTCACTGCTCTGTCTGTGTATCACTGCTCTGTCTGTGTATCACTGCTCGGTCTGTGTATCACTGCTCTGTCTGTATCATAGTGTAGGCAAGTTATTTATCAGTTGTCACTGCTCGGTCTGTGTATCACTGCTCTGTCTGTGTATCGTAGTGTAGGCACGTTATATATCAGTTGTCACTGTTCTGTCTGTGTATCACTGCTCTGTCTGTATCGTAGTGTAGGCAAGTTATATATCAGTTTTCACTGCTCTGTCTATCGTAGTGTAGGCAAGTTATATATCAGTTGTCACTGCTCTGTCTGTGTATCACTGCTCTGTCTGTATCGTAGTGTAGGCAAGTTATATATCAGTTGTCACTGCTCTGTCTGTGTATCGTAGTGTAGGCAAGTTATATATCAGTTGTCACTGCTGTCTGTGTATCGTAGTATAGGCAAGTTATATATCAGTTGTCACTGCTCTGTCTGTGTATCGTAGTGTAGGCAAGTTATATATCAGTTGTCACTGCTCTGTCTGTGTATCACTGCTCTGTCTGTGTGTCACTGCTCTGTCTGTGTATCACTGCTCTGTCTGTGTATCACTACTCTGTCTGTGTATCATAGTGTAAAAAAAAAAGTAAAGTTCCTTTTCACGCCTTTCGGCGCATCGGGCATATGGGCAGAGCGTCCCATATTTTTACAGACCGTCAGCACTCTGTGGGTAATGTGGTCAGCATTACGCCGGCTGTCTTTACTTTCCCAGGACAGCCCATCCTGGTACCCATTTTAGGCTGGGTCGACCTGCGACGTCCCATACCACGATAAAAATCCACGCAGCCCACGCAGGTTTCGATCGCGGTATGCTGGCTTACGAGTCGGACTCGCAACGCCTTAGCCACGGACGCCGCTGTATCATAGTGTAGGCAAGTTATATATCAGTTGTCACTGCTCTGTCTGTGTATCACTACTCTGTCTGTGTATCATAGTGTAGGCAAGTTAAATATCAGTTGTCACTGCTCTGTCTGTATATCGTAGTGTAGGCAAGTTATATATCAGTTGTCTTCATTGATTTATTATATAATAGTTATGTCATATCAGAAACTGAAATATTTTGGCCATATCAAGCACCACAGCGGATTAGAAAGAATAGCAGCAGACGGCATGGTGCCAGAAAAGAGGGCTAGAGGCCGACCAGTATGAAGATGGACACATGATATGTGACAACTTGGGTTGAAAGTGCATGAGTTTGGGAATCTAGTGAGATATTGAGTTTCATCCAGGCAAGCTGTGATGAGAGTGAGGTTCTGCGAGGACCTGCTATATGGTATAATGTTGATGAGTCATCTCACATCGAATGTTTGTTTTTAAAATCTGAGCAGATCTTGGTGTCAGAGCAGGCTGGATATAGAGAAATTTACAGCATAGAAGACCAAGTCACCTACCTGTCACAAGCTGTAGAGGATGCCTTCCAAGAGAAGGAAAAAGTCTTGGCGGTGTGGGTCGACTTCAGACAAGCTTTTGACAAAGTGTGGAAAGATGACCTCATTACAAAACTGAAAAGAAGTGGAATCCAAGACAACAGGCTAAGATGGATCCAGTCTTTCTTACACAACAGGAGAACTAAAGTCGCTCTTGATGGCCTGTAAAGCAGAAAATTGTTGCTTCATCAAGGGGTACCACAGGGAGGAGTTATCACTACAACTCTCTTTCTTGTTTATATCATTACAGCAGTAAAGGATGGCTTGTATGTAGATGATGTGGCAATCTGGTGAACTGATAAACACACCACAATGGCGAATCTAAGAATGCAGCAAGCAACGGATATCTTAATGACATGGACAGAAAAGTGGCATGTTACCATCAACACAGACAAAACATCCACAACTCTTGTATCTTTTCCCCCACAGGGACAAAGCCTGTTAAAATTACCTGGGAACATCCTTGGTAAAGGAAGAAAGCTTCCCGACTTATCTTGGAGTGACATTTGATGAAAGCCTCACCTGGAGCAAAAATATAGAAAATGTAGAAGTGAAGGCCAGGAGACGACTAGGGTTACTTATAAAATTGGCAGGTACAGGATGAGGAGCGAATGTTAAAACCCTACAGAAAGTTTATAATGGAGCGATAAGATCCCAACTGGAGTTTGGTGCAGCAGCTTGGTCATCAGCTGCTAATTCCCATCAACAGTCGTTAGACAGTGCAAAATCAAGTTCTTAGACATCACAGGATCCATGAAAATGGCAACAATCTTGGAGAGGCAGAAAATAACTGCAATGCAGACATTGTCCTGAAGAAGAGACGCTAAGACTGATTCATATAAAGAAGTTTAAAAGTGTGTAACACTGCAGTAACACCCAATGAAAGCAAGATTAGATGATCTAGCATTGGGGCGTCTCAAATGTAGCAGCTTTGTCCCATCAGGAGAAAGACTTAGAAGACAGTATCAAGCAGATCTACCCATGAAAACCACTGCTGAAACATATTCTATACCTTTGTGTTTCTTTCATTGTCCAGACCTCATTGGTCAGTTTCCCTAATGGTTCTTTCCAAATTAGGGAACCTTTTACGTGTGAATTCCGCAACGTAATTTATGCCATAATCTGCAAAATATGCAACAAGATCTTTTCCAGGAACCCCTCTCTGATATTGACAAGAAGACACTTAAACCAATCCCTCTCCATTTTAACAGCTCTGGCCCTAGAGGTAAAGATGATATATCTGTCACAGTGTTAAAATCTTGCTCTGGCGATCAAACCACATGCCTCTCTTTGGAAAGTTACCTCATCCACAGCCTAGGTGTTCTTAGTCTAGGTGGCATCAATGTCCAACATACCTTTATCTAAACAGTTTTTCTATCTCATATCAGTACCATTTATAAATCATTAACATTTGTATTTCTATGACTCTTTTATTCCTACATATTGTATATTAACAATAGTACTTTTTATTTTTTTTGCATCGATTTTTTTAGCCTTCATTGATTTTATTTCATTTACTCCACATCACATTTTTTAAGAAGTTGCTTATGCCACAATTTTAATACTCTCTTTTTGTTACCATTGTAGAGTTGATTCCTTGTTCTAGAAAGGCCACAACCTGAAACATTGTTTTGTGCACGTTTCTCTACTTCCCTGTTTCGTTACGTTTTTTTAGTAACATTTCACTGGAATTCCTTAATGTCTGTATTCCTACAGGTATATGATGCAAGAATAATTTTTTATGTGTAAACCATTGGGTGATGTTGTCGTCGTAACATGGCCACCTTTACTTCCCTGAACACTGCCTTGTACCCATTGGATCGAACCCCTGGACTGCTATTAAGACAGGATAACATGAAGGCCACTGCTTCAATGCAGCTGTCATGTCACTAAAAATATGTATTTTTAAGTCTTCAGTTTATAGATAACAAAAAAGGATATGTTTTTGTGTGTAAAAGAAAATAATCAGTAAATACAGACACAACAAAGAATTAACTGCTTTGATTTACTATTACCATAATAAACATGGTTTTGTTGACTTAGCCACATCCAGCAAAGTCACATAGTTTTGAGATTCTTATGACACCACAGGTCACAAATGTGATCTTTTTTGGTTATCACCCCAGGTATCTTGTTGGTATACATAATTGTTTGATATGTTTAAGTACTTGGGTACTTTGATAACATCAGATGGAAGATAAATTTAAAAAGTTGAATGTAGAATAGCCTAATCAAGGCAGTAGTTTTACAAAATTAAGAATATTTTATGCAATCTTTCCTCATAAGTTGAGATAGGGAAGAGAATTCTTAAAAGCTGTATAAATCCTATCTTGATATACGGAAGTGAATCATGGACAGTTGGTAGATTAGTGAAAAAAAGTATTTGGAAACTGCTAAGATGTGGTTTTGTAGATGATTGGTAAAAAAAAAAAAGTAATGAAGATGTCTTGAAAGAAACTGACTAACAAAGAGAACTGGTTGCCCACATCAGAAAGGGACAATCACATTCTTCGTTCTTGTGATGAGAAGGAGATCAACTAGAGTACATCGTGACAGTAGGAAAGGTGGAGGGGAAGAGAGGCAGAGGGAGACCAAGAGAACAGATGCTGGACAGTTTGACATCATGGCATGGAGTATCTTCGGTATCAGTTTGCATTTGGAGCCAGTACCAAAGCTATTGTATAGGCATAGTGGCCACTACCCAAACACTTCCTGTCAGCAAAAACCTGTCAATGCTGGAAACACTACTTTGTACTGGTGACAGTTTTAAGATTAACTAATTACATCCAATTTTTTTTCCTTTTATTGGAAAAAACAAAAATACACATAGGAGCAAAATTAAGACAGCCTATGATACTGACTTTGTGTTGGATTTTTCTTTCTGTCCAGAATACAGATAACTGACATAGCAATGGAGGAGGAGGCATCATACCTGCCGGATCCAGGTTCGTTCCACAGTTGTGTTGGTGTATCAAAGTGTGTTTTTTGATGGGTGTCTCATCTCTGAAACTGGGTGTGGTGACTGGGTCACTTGTATGGTTGATGCTATGACATCTGGGTCTAGTTTGACCCGGGATTATGACATTTTGATACACAAAAAGGCACCCAGTTTAAGTTGGCAAAGTAAAAACCGTACAAGAACCAGTAGCCTATCTTGTACAATAATCTATTTTATAGGAAACTGTGAATTTTCCATCTGCATCTGATATTTTGGTAAACAGTCAGTAGAGAGATACTTGGGATGGCATCTGCATTAGAGGACTGAGCACCCATTGCTTGGTAAAAGTTAGCTGTGATAACATAACATGCTAGTATTTGAAATCAGATGACCATTATTTGTTACTTGTCAACACCATATATTATCATACCTCAGCTGGCTTCACTGTTTCCCATGGGAGTGTTATCCCGTGTGGCTTGGTCTGTCTTCACAGGGCAGCTGGTCAACCACCTGAATCACAAAATACGAAACCCTGTAGCTCTGATGATCGTCTCTGAGGATCTACAGAACATCTGCACTCTTAAATGATTGATTCCCAGACTAAACCTAAGCCTTCCCAGTGCAAAGAAAATGACTTACCACTTCACTTGAGAGATGACTTACCACTTCACCTTAGAGATGACTGACCACTTTACCTTAGAGATGACTGACCACTTCACCTCAGAGATGACTGACCACTTCACCTTAGAGATGACTGACCACTTCACCTCAGAGATGACTGACCACTTCACCTCAGAGATGACTGACCACTTTACCTCAGAGATGACTGACCACTTCACTTGAGAGATGACTTACCACTTTACCTCAGAGATGACTGACCACTTTACCTTAGAGACACTTGCATTCTCTTAATCTTGATTAAGTTTAACCAATGACTATTCCTTTTATTTCTCTATTATTGGCAGCACCAAAAGTCTTATTTGCTTAGACCTGCTGTGTTTGAGTTTACATTTTAGTTTGGGTTGTTTTGTTAATTCACTAAGCCAGGATAGGCTCATTACGGTGTAAAGTGAAATCCCTAACTGATCTCTTCTTTTTTTTTGTGTGTGTGTGCATATTGGAACCATTGTCTTTTTTTTATTATTATTTTTTTTTTTAGCGTTCCAAACCCATGGAATTCATTACTGCAGATATCACCCGCCTCCATTCATCTCTGTGTTTGGCCTTATCTTTCCGCTTAGTGACTCCCAGGTGTTTATAGGTCTGCTTGGATATTATCACTCTATCGTCTTCTTGGTCTGCCTTATGGTCTATGGCTGTTCAGCTCCCTTGTGTACACAGTTTTGCCTCTCTGTTATCTGCCCTTCTTGCTGTTTGTCCCAGCCATCTCACTCTGTTAGCCCTTACAAAGCCAGTATGGAACTATAATTTTTTTTTAATTCCAAAAGAGAAATTGCAAATAGTGAATTATTACTGACTCTTTGCATGTTAATATCTTCCAAAAAATTTTGTAACATGCTCTAATTTATTTTTTGAAATTTATAGCGGCAGATAAAGGCAAAAGAAATCGACGTCGAAGGAACGGGAAAAAGGATTCAGATGATGTAGACAAGAAAGAAGATGATGCAACACAGCCACCTACCTCTTTTTCATTGGGAAACATTTTTGGCTCCACAAAAGCCGAGCCATCATCAGAAGAGGTTGAAGGAACCAAAAGTTCTCCCTCACATGTGTTGATGGTGAAAACAGAAAACCTCACCCATGAACCATTTGAAAATAATGATGAAATTAAGGTAATCATCACTACACTGTTTGAGAAACTGGGCGGATGAAATTATTTCAAGAAATAAATAGAAATGTTAGCACTTTTTATTAACATTTCCCCATGTGGATTCTGGGGGGGGGGGGGGGGGGGGGGAGATTAAACCCACTGCCTCCCTAATAAGCATGTTGTAAGAATCAACTAAGTGAGGATTACCTTTGAAGTCAGAGTGCATCTGCCTGAGAGGCAAGGAACCAACAGTCTGCATACAGATAAGGGCATATCTGAAAAATGGATGTGCAAGCAGAAGTCTAGTTGTGGAACAAGTTCAGACGTGGGTGAGAAATAAAACTTGTGGCCAGAGTTTACATCCGTCAGACGTGGGTGAGAAATAAAACTTGTGGCCAGAGTTTACATCCGTCAGACGTGGGTGAGAAATAAAACTTGTGGCCAGAGTTTACATCCGTCAGACGTGGGTGAGAAATAAAACTTGTGGCCAGAGTTTACATCCGTCAGACGTGGGTGAGAAATAAAACTTGTGGCCAGAGTTTACATCCGTCAGACGTGGGTGAGAAATAAAACTTGTGGCCAGAGTTTACATCCGTCAGACGTGGGTGAGAAATAAAACTTGTGGCCAGAGTTTACATCCGGGGAACATGAACAAGAAGTAGATTTTCATAGTATAATTTTAGATTAAAGAATGAAAATTTTTAATGTCAGTTCAGGGTTCGTAGTGGACCGGGAAATCGGGAAATTACCGGGATTTTTTTCGTTGACCTTAAACCCGGGATTTTTAGCTTATAAAAGACATTCCGACCTTGAAAAGCCGTGAATTTTGACCGCGGCAATGAAATCGTCAGAAATCCTGTGTTTTTCAAGCACAGGCAATTTTGGGGGAGCCATTTGGCTTTTTTGGCCATTTGGCTAGTTTTTGGCTACTTTCGTTGTATGGTCGTTTCAGGTGTGATGGCAGCTGATTATTGGCTATTTTCAGCCGAAATGGCCAGGGGAGGGCGGGCTTTGTTACAGATCATGAATACATGCTGACAGCAGCAGTGTGGCATGGGGCGGGAAGGAGCAGCTTCCGTCTCGCGTGTGTGTGTGTGTGTGTGCCTTTGTTTCTAGCAAGTTGGGCAGAATGAACAGTTTAAATCGTTTATGGCCTTGGTTTCTAGAAAGGATTACATTGGGAGATGGTGGGGCTCGGTTCAGTTGTATTTATAAATAGAGTCGCCGTGGTGGGGCTAAGCACGGCCTTCTCTATTAATTAGAGATGGCATTGGGGCTAAGAAAAGTGACTGCAGCTGGATTTCCCAGTTCTATTTTTGGCCTGGATTTATCTTTACAGTGTGTTTGGCGATCAGTATTGTAATTCCCCGAGATTCCCTCTTCTGTTGTCTCACCCCTCTCTCTCTCTCTCTCTTCCCTCCTTCTTTCACTCTTCTACCTATTGCTCCTTTCTTCCCGTCTCCTGCATTGTCTCTAACCCTCCCTTCTGATCTTTATCTTCTTCTCTTTCTCTCTATCTTTCCTTTTACTCTCTCATTTCCTGTCCCCCCTCTCCCTTTTTCCTATTTTATTTCTTGTTTAAATGTTTAGTAAATGTGCGGCTCCATAACTCTTCCTAGCAACTCAAGTACACAGGAAGTTGTATTGGGGGGGGGGGGGCATTCTGTGTGAACATGGTGGATATTTTCTTTTGATGTGTTTGTTTTCCTAGCGGCCTTAATCTCTGTCCATCTCCCTTCCCGCCCCCTCACATTTTGTCCTACCTGTTCCTCACTCTCTGCCTGTCTGTGTCACTGCTTTCTTCTTTCTCTTTGTATTTGCCACTCTCCCTCACTCCCTCCCCCCCCCCCCCTCTCTCTCTCTCTCTCTCTCTCTCTTTCTCCATACCTTCAGTTGGTGTAGAAGGTTATGTGTTGCCTAGTGCAGAACATTTCATGTCCACCATTCCCCCTCCCACACATTAAATATATGTGTACTTTTAAAAACACATTTGCCGTCACCCCCCCTCCCCCTTTTTTTTTTCTCCTCCCACATTGATGACACCTAGGGGTGCACCCCTTCCTGCTACCTTCTTCCCTCTATATCTCATCTTATTTCTTACTCCCTTCTTTCTCTCCCTGTCTCATTCCCACTTTATTTTCTTAAACTTTATTCTCTCACCTCCTCTGTCTCACCCTTACCACCTCAGCCTTCTACACCACTTTCCACCACCTCCTCTCTCCCCTCCTTTCTGTAATTGGAAAACCAGAAATAAAACGAAGTCCACTGCTGCCCTGACCTATTTATGTGTCTGACCTATTTATGTGTGTGGGTAAACTTCTCTATTTTCCACCAGTGGTGGGTTGGGATCCCCTGGACTTTTATTTTCTATATAAAATGACCTTGGCTCTCAGGTCACCAGCCTTAAGTGTAAGAAATTGAATTATTGTTGTCACACACAGATAGGACAAGCAAGGGGCAGTAGGGGTTAGCACTGTTGTTTTTGGACCACGGCCACATTCACATTGGGAGAGGGTAGGAACCGGAAAAGTGGCCTCACTTAGAGATTTCCTAATTCTATTTTTGGCACTCATTGTTCTTGTTCACTGCCCCTCTCTCTTAATCTGTGTTTGTCACTGCCTTCCTTACCCACCTCTCTCTCTCTCTTGCTTTATGTCTGTTTGCCTCCCTTCATCACTTCCTCTTTGTATACCTCCCTCCCATTCTCCTGCTCTGCCTTTTTTCTCTTTCTTTGGTTCTCTCCCTCTGTCTGCTTGCCTCTCTGTGCTGTCCCTTTGTCTCTCTCTCTCTCTCCTTTATGTCTACATCTCTCTCTGCTTCTCACCCTGTCCGTTCTCTCTCCCTCTGTCTCCCTTCTTTCAACTCTTTGTCATAATTTCCTTCTTCCATATCTCTATTTCGTTCCCTTTTTCCTTCTTTTTTTCATCTGCCCATCTCTGTATCTGCATTCCCTCTTTCTGTATTTTTTTCCCTCTCTGTCTTTCGCTGTTCCTTCCCCACTTTTCCTCATCATGTCTCCATCCCTCCCTCTTATTTTTTCCTCCTTCCCCAGACTTCTTTTCCTTCTTTTCTCTACCTTCATCTGTCCATCTTTACACTGTCTCTCCCAGCCTACCTCAGCATGTGTCTTCCTCTCTCTTCATGACTCTCTCTCTCTCCCCTAACCCTCTCAGGTACCAGGTCCAGAACAGACAGGACTTCAGTTTGCTGCCCTCTACCACCAAGCCCTAAAAAAAATTTCAAACACTATATCAAGCTCAGGGGCCGACCAGCACGAAGATGGGCACAGGATATAAGTGACTCCTTGAGTATAAAAAAGTACATGAGGCGGGAGAGCTGGTGAGAGACCGAGGTTTTTTTGTCAGGACAAAGGAAATGCTACATGATGATGATATCTGTGCTGGTATACCAACACATGTGGCACAAATGAAGTACCTTGTGTGCTCAGTACACCCTTGAACAAGGCAAAAATCTTGTTTCAGTATTACACCGAGACAACCTTGAAAAAAACTAAGGAGACCTTAAAAAGACCTTGAAAAGCCTTGAAATTGATTGGTAAATTTGGCTATGAACCCTGTCAGTTACATAATGTTACATTTGAATTGAATAAATTCCTTATGTTAGCAGTATATATTACCTAACGCATGAAGAACAGTTTTCAGGGAGCCCTAAAGGCACAGGACTGGGGCATTTACCTGTCATCGTGGCGGGCATAAGTTCAAGATTAGTTTTGTAGGAATAAAGGATCATTGTCTTATGTAACAGAATATGTTCTTTCATGAAACATAATTGTATTTGATCATGGCAACGCTACTGAGAAATAATACTTAATTTGGTGGTAACAGTCTTGTAAGAGAACTGTGTTAAAACTAAAGGTTGAGTTGATGAAACTGATGTCATCAATAAAAAGATGTCTCTCTGGGTTCCGGGATCCCATTTTGGAGGAACAAATAATAGACCCAATGCCCCCAACAATCATGTCATCAAAGGTGACTAATGGGATAAGACCAAAGTGCAGAAGTGAACGAACAACCGGAACTTGCTGCCGGAGTTTGCATCCAGTGAATGTTGAGAAGATGATGATGAAAGGGTGACTGAATATGCAGTAGATTACTCTGGTACTATAAAGTTGAACCAATGCCTGGGCTAAATATCAGTATACTCTAGCAAAGCAAAACAGAAAGTACATACACTAAATGAAGAATGACTTTAAATTAGAAGGTTAGAATGAGAATTGGTGTTGATAAATCTAATCATGAGAACCTGATAGTGATGTTGATAGATATAATCAGGAGAACCTGATAGCGATGTTGATAAATGTAATCATGAGAACCTGATAGTGATGTTGATAGATGTAATCATGAGAACCTGATAGTGATGTTGATAAATGTAATCAGGAGAACCTAAAAGTGATGTTGTGTTGTTTCTGACACAGGCCCTGACGTCAGAGGTGGTAAAAACAATCAGAGATATCATAGCTATGAACCCTCTATACAGGTTGGTAGTCTGTCTGTGTGCAGCTGGGTGTGTTTATGTTCCATTATCCCAGCTTTGTTGTGTATGGCTGGAACCGGTGTTGTGTATGGCTGGAACCGGTGTTGTGTATGGCTGGAACCGCTGTTGTGTATGGCTGGAACCGGTGTTGTGAATGGCTGGAACCGGTGTTGTGTATGACTGGAACCGGTGTTGTGTATGGCTGCAACCGGTGTAGTGTATAACTGGAACCGGTGTTGTGTATGGCTGGAACCGGTGTTGTGTATGGCTGGAACCGGTGTTGTGTATGACTGGAACCGGTGTTGTGTATGGCTGGAACCGGTGTAAAGGGTTAAAAAATAATGGAGTAAAGGACCCCCCCCCCCTTTTTTTTTTTCTTTTTCTAAACTATTTGTTAACCCCAGTGGCAAATTGCGCATACGATGCCAGACTCATTTTTATTAGACCAATGGTCACTGGGTGGGTGATGACAGCATGGACCACTGGGTGGGTGATGTCAGCATGGACCATTGGGTGGGTGATGTCAGCATGGACCACTGGGTGGGTGATGTCAGCATGGACCACTGGGTGGGTGATGTCAGCATGGGTCACTGGGTGGGTGATGTCAGCATGGACCACTGGGTGGGTGATGTCAGCATGGGCCACTGGGTGGGTGATGTCAGCATGGGTCACTGGGTGGGTGATGTCAGCATGGACCACTGGGTGGGTGATGTGAGCAGGGACCACTGGGTGTTTGATGTCAGCATGGGCCACTGGGTGTTTGATGTCAGCATGGACCACTGGCTGGGTGATGTCAGCAGGGACCACTGGGTGGGTGATGTCAGCAGGGACCACTGGGTGGGTGATGTCAGCATGGGCCACTGGGTGGGTGATGTCAGCATGGACCACTGGGTGGGTGATGTCAGCATGGGTCACTGGGTGGGTGATGTGAGCATGGACCACTGAGTGGGTGATGTCAGCATGCATATTGGACAAACAAAGAAGCTGTGTCGAGATATCTATCTGATGAGAGCCATGGTAGAATAGTGACCAGACACTGATCTACTGGTCCACATGCCTTAGCTTGACATCTGCATCAAGGCTGATTTTTCTGGTCACTGGGTGGGTGATGTCAGCATGGACCACTGGGTGGGTGATGTGAGCAGGGACCACTGGGTGGGTGATGTCAGCATGGGTCACTGGGTGGAGGATGTCAGCATAGACCATTGGTTGGGTGATGTCAGCATGGACCATTGGGTGGGTGATGTCAGCATGGGTCACTGGGTGGGTGATGTCAGCATGGACCATTGGGTAGGTGATGTCAGCATGGACCACTGGGTGGGTGATGTCAGCATGGACCATTGGGTGGGTGATGTCAGCATGGACCACTGGGTGGGTGATGTCAGCATGGACCACTGGGTGGGTGATGTGATGATGTCTGCAGGGGCCACTGGGTGGGTGATGTCAGCATGGACCACTGGATGGTGATGTGATGTCAGCATGGACCACTGGATGGTGATGTGATGTCAGCATGGACCATTGGGTGGGTGATGTCAGCATGGACCACTGGATGGTGATGTGATGTCAGCATGGACCACTGGGTGGGTGATGTCAGCATGGACCACTGGGTGGGTGATGTCAGCATGGGTCACTGGGTGGGTGATGTCAGCATGAACCATTGGGTGGGTGATGTCAGCATGGACCACTGGGTGGCTGATGTCAGCATGGGCCACTGGGTGTTTGATGTCAGCATGGGCCACTGGGTGTTTGATGTCAGCATGGACCACTGGCTGGGTGATGTGAGCAGGGACCACTGGGTGGGTGATGTCAGCAGGGACCACTGGGTGGGTGATGACAGCATGGGCCACTGGGTGGGTGATGTCAGCATGGACCACTGGGTGGGTGATGTCAGCATGGACCACTGGGTGGGTGATGTCAGCATGGGTCACTGGGTGGGTGATGTCAGCATATTGGACAAACAAAGAAGCTGTGTCGAGATATCTATCTGATGAGAGCCATGGTAGAATAGTGACCAGACACTGATCTACTGGTCCACATGCCTTAGCTTGACATCTGCATCAAGGCTGATTTTTCTTTTTCAGAACTGAACTTGGCCCCCATGCTGACCCAGCCTAAACTGGGTATCAGGTAAAGTCCTGGGAAGTAAAAGTGGCCAGCACAATGTTGACCACATCACCTACAAGGGCAGATCAGTCTGTAAAACTATAAGGCTAACCTCAGATGCCTGATGCATTGCTGGCATGAAAAGGATCTTGACTTACTATTGTATCTAACACTTAGAGGTGGCCAAGAAGTTGATAGAAGAATTGTCTCTATCTATCACAACCTAAAGAGACAGAACTTACACGGGCCAGTCCCAAAACCTGTCACATCGGTATTGGATGACTAATTCTGAACAAATAAAAATAGAAAAAGATTGTAGTTGTGGCGAAGATGCTTGCAGAATTCTGAAGAGTGAGAGAAGGTGGAAGTTTAGGAAAAAATATACAACCTCACCATTTGAAGGAAAAAACCCCGAAAAGTATAGTTTTTTTTTAAGGATTTCTTAACCTTAATTCTTTAAGATTCTGCACAAAATTAAGAAAGTGTTTTTGCATAGCTTTATAAATCTTATCAATAGCTTCTTAGTTAGTTCTTACATGTGGTCATTTGCTCCCAGAAAATGATAACATAAAAGTTTTGAATTTGTGATAAAGGGATCGTGACTATAAAATGTAACTTGTATTTTGGGTGGGGGAGGGGGTGTTTGCTGTGTGTCCTAAATGTGTGTAGACATAAAGTGCCACTTTTTTCTTGCACTTCCCTGTTTTCTGATTTTAATTGGCATGTTTTTTCTTCAGAGAAAATCTGGCACAGATCATCCAGGCAGGTCAGAGGGTTATCGACAACCCTGTTTATATCAGCGATTTGGGTATGGTTATCTTGTTTCTTTCTGGAATATAGTTTGTTTTCTTCTAGTTAACCTGGTCTGATTGGGTATCGCGAATGTCTAGGAAATAAAAGGATCTGCGGGAGACTGACCACATCACCCAATAATCGCCTCCTATTATTAAACACACAAACACCCCCTCCTCCCCCCCCCCCATTTTTGTTTCCGTGTGCATACGGTGCTAGACTCATATTTGATAGACCAGTGGGCGCTCGGTGGGTGATGTGGTCATTACACGCTGGTCACCTTTACTTCCTAAGGCATTACCTGGAATCAGTTTTAGACTGGGTCCACCTGAGAGTCAATGTCAGTTTGGAAAAAGTCTGCCTCAGTGAGGATTTGATCATGAGACCTTTGTGCTCCAGTATCACCTGGTCTGTACAAACAAAATGGCGCTAGCACCATATACAAAAGGGAAGGTTTTTAGGGAGCTGCATGGTCTCGGGGTATGGTGTCGGCCTCATGTGCTAGAGGTCCCGGGTTTAGGCCCCGGTGAGGGCTGTGATATTTTACGTGGATTTATAGTGGATATATACACATTTCCCCTGGTCTCTGGGTAGTGAGATGGGACACCCGTGTGTATTGTTGCGCACGTAAAAAATTCCTTGGCAGTTGGAAATCTAAAAGAGCAGCCTAACATGGCTACCCAGGCAAAATTCAGAGTTAAAAATCAACCCAAAATATTTGAGGATCCTCACCGGTGCTACGGAGCCCGTGCACTGCGCTGAGCTACTTCGGACTTAGACTTGAGTTAGAAGTAGAATGGAGCACTTATGGGTTACAACCCATGTGCCATTGTGTTGATCCGTTGTTAAAATCTCAAACAAAATATGCCCTGTGACATGGAAAAGGGTCTGCTTCAAACACTTAGTGATTTTCCTGTGGCATTTGAAGCAGTTAATACATACTTTCTCCCTTTGTAGGTTTCGGGGTCCCATTGTAGAGGGGGGGGGGGGGCAGACCCACTGCCCCCCAAACAAGCATGTAGTAAAAGTCAGATAACTATGGGGGTTTCCTTTGAAGTCTGAGTGAATTTGCCTGAGAGACGAAGACCAACAGTCTGCATACAAATAAGCAAATCGGCTCTCCTTTAAATAACGGTCACTAGCTGGAAAGCCGACGGTCGCTTAGTCGGAGTGCGCTTCCTTCGCTGCATTGCAAATACGGAGTGGACAAGTCAAGAATCAAAAACAAGGTCAACATGGCAGTTAGACATCGAGCTGTGACTCACATTAGCAACCAAGTTCTTGCGACGCACGACTTAGTTGCCACGGATGTGACTCCTGCAGATCTGTATGCCTTAATGACCGATAAGTTTGCGTGGTTAGGGGTAGGGTTTGGGTTAGGGTAAGGCTAGGGTTAGGGTTAGATGTGAAAATATTGACACAGGAGTTCCAAATAATCGCGCACAGTGACATAAACACCCAAACAATTGAAGGACTGTGGATGCTACTCAAACGGACAATTCGCCATCAATTGGGCACCAGCCCCACGCTATTGCCGTCATATTTAGAAGACGTCCAGTGGCGCCACTCCCACAAGCATCCGATTGTCGGCCAGTATTTGGAACTCCTGCGTCAAATTTGTCACAACTAACCCTACCACTAACCATAACCTTAACCCACACCCTACCCTACACCCTACGCAACCGTATGATGACAGGTAAGTATGTCATTTGTTTTGTTCCCTCTGTACGCTTCGTATTTGCAATGCAGCCAAGGGAGCGCACTCCGACTAAGCGGCCGTCGGCTTTCCAGCTAGCGATTTTTTGGATAGAGGAACTAGGAGATCTGTGTGTTGCATTGTTAAATCTACACATGTGTCAGGATTGTCTACATGTGTGGCAAGATTGTCTGCATGTGTGGCAAGATTGTCTACATGTGTGGCAAGATTGTCTGCATGTTTGTCAGCATTATCTACATGTGGGCTAGGATTGTCTACATGTGTGGCAAGATTGTCTACATGTGTGGCAAGATTGTCTACATGTGTGGCAAGATTTTGTACATGTTTGTCAGCATTATCTACATGTGGGCTAGGATTGTCTACATGTGTTGCAAGATTGTCTGCATGTGTGGCAAGATTGTCTGCATGTGTGGCAAGATTGTCTACATGTGTGGCAAGATTGTCTGCATGTGTGCTCATCATTATATACATATGTGTCAGGATTGTCTATATTTGTGTCGGGATTATCTACATATGTGTCGGGACTGGCCGTGTGACTTGTGTGTTTTATTCCGCGGTAGCTATATGAACAACCCTCTTTAAATCAGGCAGTTGAATAGTCCGAGTATTTGTTTCAGGTGCTGCACTGACTGCTGGTGAGCCGCATGAAATGCAAGAAGTTTTGGAAGAAAAAAATGTAAGTGTTTTCTGTTACACCATCAAAATGTCAGTGTTTGTCAGCTCTTTGTTGAAATGCTCTGATTTTTCAGGGTCCCTCAGAAATGTGTGTTTTAGTTACAGTGTAGGAATTTGTCATATACATCTAGACAGACATTTTGTATAGAGTTGCTGACAGATTTCTGGATGTTGAATGATTTGTGTGTCTTTGACATTTTTTGGGCAGCGTTATAGACAGATTTCTTGATGTTAAAATATTTTTTATTGTTGACAGAATTATTATCGTTGTTGATAGGTTTCTAATTGTTGTTGACGGGACTTCTTGGTGTTGTTGGCATATTTCTGTATTCTTAACAGAGCTTTCATTCAAATAATGTGGACACAAACACAAACAATACATTGCAGAATTTGTCGCCAGGCATATTTCACTGTATCTTGTCAGATGTATTACTACAGCGTGGCATCAACATATATTGAAGCACAAAAGCTGAAATAATTCCACTGAAATACAAATGGTCTGTCTAATTATACTATTTATTCTAATAAAGATTGTCACATGATTTAGCAAACGTCACATTTATAATCTTCGTCTTCTTCTTCTTCTTTCATTTGCTTGAAGTAGATTATTTATATATGTAATGTTGTCTCTAGTATAAACTTCACTGTCTTTTATAATTTACTCAGTGACTCGTAAAGTTGGACTTGCACCGGTACATTTATCATGAATTCCTTCTGCTTGCGTGAGAGAAGATTCTTCCTTTTTTATTGTTAAAGCTTCGGCCAGTCTCTGCATTTGCTATTTTTGAAGCACTGTCCTTTTCAATTGCATGTTTGGAATCAAGTGCATAGAAGGAGTTGGTTCTTTTCTCTCAATAGGTCATGGCACCTTTATGGAATCACGCGGCTGTGCATTTAGCCATTTGGGTCTTTGTTCTGCAACTGTTTTCATTGTCTCTCCATTCGACCGATGTAAGTCAACTGGCACTTACATGTAAATGGATAAATACATTTGGATTTGGTGTATGGAGACACTAGCCCTTTAATAGTCGTGACTGGGATGGAAGTTTTCTTGTACCTCACTACTGAAACAGCAGCAATGAATATTTGGCCAACAGTTGTTTTTAAGTCAGCCTTGCAGATGCTGCATGATGCCATCCACTTGATAAGTTAGATAAATACTTGTAGTTTGGGCACTGTAGTTTTGATTGTGTTGGGTGGGGTGCAGTGACGTTGACTGAATTCTGTGAAGTATTCATTTGGGAGTAGATTTGTCAGTCTAAAACACAAACACATGGCTTCTAAAACATGTCTTCATTGTTGGACATATTTGTTTGTTGATGACAGATTTCATTGTAGTGTTGACAAATTTCAGTGAATTGTTTGGTTTTATCATTGTTGGTTCATCTCTTGGTGGTGTTGACAAATTTCTTGTTGATGACAGAATCTTGGCAAATGTTTAACATATTTCTTGGTGTCCTCTGACAGATTGCAAAGCGTCTGATGCTGGCCTTATCCTTGCTAAAGAAGGAGTATGAACTGAGTAAATTACAGCAGAGGATTGGCAAGGAGGTTGAGGAGAAGGTCAAGAAGCAGCACAGGGAGTATATTCTGAAGGAACAGCTGAAGATCATCAAGAAAGAACTGGGCTTGGAAAAAGATGATAAGGATGCCATTGAGGAGAAGTTCAGAGCAAGGCTCAAGGTATGTAGGTCAAATAACTATAATTTGTGCGCATCTCCCCCCCCCCCCCCATCCCCCCCCCCCCCCCCCCCAGTATTACTTTATAAGAAATAAAACAGGTACGATCAACATGAGAAGTCTTTGGGGGCTGCTGTGATGTTAGTTCCTGACTCAGTACAAGATAAGTGACAGCTGTTTTCTGGAGCCATGTGAACCACCTTCTGGTGCTCATTGTAGACCAGCTTAATTTTGAGGAAAGGATGATGACAGTAATGGAATTCACTATGGCTAATCTTTGAGATGAGGATGATGACAGTAATGGAATTCACTATGGCTAATCTTTGAGATGAGGATGATGACAGTAATGGAACTCACTATGGCTAATCTTTGAGATGAGGATGATGACAGTAAAGGAATTCACTATAGCTAATCTTTGAGATGAGGATGATGACAGTAATGGAATTCACTATGGCTAATCTTTGAGATGAGGATGATGACAGTAATGGAATTCACTATGGCTAATCTTTGAGATGAGGATGATGACAGTAATGGAATTCACTATGGCTAATCTTTGAGATGAGGATGATGACAGTAATGGAATTCACTATGGCTAATCTTTGAGATGAGGATGATGACAGTAATGGAATTCACTATGGCTAATGTTTGAGATGAGGATGATGACAGTAATGGAATTCACTATGGCTAATCTTTGAGATGAGGATGTGACAGTAATGGAATTCACTATGGCTAATCTTTGAGATGAGGATGATGACAGTAATGGAATTCACTATGGCTAATCTTTGAGATGAGGATGATGACAGTAATGGAATTCACTATGGCTAATCTTTGAGATGAGGATGATGACAGTAATGGAATTCACTATGGCTAATCTTTGAGATGAGGATGATGACAGTAATGGAATTCACTATGGCTAATCTTTGAGATGAGGATGATGACAGCAATGGAATTCACTATGGCTAATCTCTGAGATGAGGATGATGACAGTAATGGAATTCACTATGGCTAATCTCTGAGATGAGGATGATGACAGTAATGGAATTCACTATGGCTAATCTTTGAGATGAGGATGATGACAGTAATGGAATTCACTATGGCTAATTCTTTGAGATGAGGATGATGACAGTAATGGAATTCACTATGACTAATCTTTGAGATGAGGATGATGACAGTAATGGAATTCACTATGGCTAATCTTTGAGATGAGGATGATGACAGTAATGGAATTCACTATGGCTAATCTTTGAGATGAGGATGATGACAGTAATGGAATTCACTATGGCTAATCTTTGAGATGAGGATGATGACAGTAATGGAATTCACTATGGCTAATCTTTGAGATGAGGATGATGACAGTAATGGAATTCACTATGGCTAATTTTTAAGATGAAGATGACAGCACTCGGGACACTCCCATACACTTCATGCTCATCTTCGGCAGCAAATGAAGGGTTCCAATTCCGTTGGCATAAATAACTGTCTAATTGTATATCCATCTCCTCTTTGCATTGAGCAGCGGCCAGATCCCCTGGTAACTCCTTACAGCGCCATTCTCCTCAGATCCTAATGAGCTATTTGTGCCTCCACTCTTCACTCGCTCCCAAAGGGCCCTAACAACGTCTAACTTGTCGTACATCAATTCACCACTAAGTGGTGCAGAACCGGCCAGTCTGCCTGCCCGTTCCCACACACCAGCATAACCTGGAGAAAACATCGAAAGGACATAATTTCCACAGTTTTTCACGAAACACTGATTGCCCATTATACATATTGAATATAATGATTATGCTAAAAGAGAGTAGTCAGCTGCATGTCATTTGTCTGCAGGAACTGGTGGTGCCCACCCATGTCATGGAGGTGATTGATGAGGAGCTCAACAAACTCTCATTTCTGGACAACCACTCTTCAGAATTCAAGTAAGTACACCTTACAGACAGTGACTGGCTCATGCCTTCAAAATCAGACCTTCCTTCTTGTTTTTATGATTTTATTCTTCACGTTTGCCGGCTGTAAACTTCCGCGAAAAGTTCTGGTCGTTCGTCCACTTCTGGACTCTAGTCTAGTGCTGTTCCAGAAACAGTGTTGTGTGCACATCCATTTCACAGGTCTGACTCATTTACATGCAGACTGTTGGTTCCTTGTCTCTCAGGCAGACGTACTCTGACATCGAAGGAATCTCCCAATTAGTCAACTCTTGTGTCATGATTCTGGGCAGGCAGTTGTCTTCTATTCTTGTTTTCCCCACAATGGGGTCCCAGAACCCACACAGGGAGTTTTTATGATAATTTTTGGGATGCACATCTCTTCACCCTTTCACAGTACTGCTGATCCTTAACCGAAACAAATTACTCAAAGTCTCTACATTAGAGGTTGACTGCAGTGTACCCACTGCTAACTATGGGAGCATTGTGCAGTGGGGCCCTGATATCGTCCATGGTGTGACTCTTATACCACTGTGTTAACGCCACAAGAACTGTCTTTTTCCCCTAAATCACCCTCTGCAAGAATGGAACCCTGGCAGACATTGAGGATTGCATTGTGAAACGATTTCGCTAAGACACAGAAATGTACAGTCATGCAGTCCCATCACTTACAGGTAACATCGTTATGTTTGGGCTCTTAATTATGAAGAGGTAAAATTTGTCTGGTCAGCTTTGTCTTCTTCTGCATTCACTCCTTAAAAGAACAGTTGGTTCATTGTGTTGTTGTTTACGGCTAGACTGTGATATCAGTGCCTTTTGGCCCATCACATCTGATTTCAGCAAACTCCACATTTGTCCAGATGTGATTGATTCAGAACCATATAATGTGACTAGCCGAATTACTTATGGAGGATGGATGATACTCTTCCGTAGATCAGGTAGAATATTTTCCATGTCACTTTGTCCCCTGGCAAGTACCTGTAAAAATATTTCTTGCAATACATAACTAGGGGCAGGAGTAGCATAATGGCTAGACTCTCACCTGCTGGCCCAAAGGTCAGGTGTTCAAATCCTCATTGAGATGGATTTGATTTTAATATTGAGACAGATTGACCCATTCTAAGACGGTTATTCCTATAATATTTTGGAAATAAACATAAAATGTTGACCACCCCAGCCTTTGGGCGCCAGATGGTCTGTAAACATATAAAGGCATGAAAGGGGTCCTTTACTTTTGCTTGACGTATACATACATCAGTAAGGACCTGTGTCATTTCTTGCAGTGTCACACGCAACTACCTAGACTGGCTGACCAGTCTTCCCTGGGGGAAGTACAGCGAAGAAACTCTGCACCTGGACAAAGCCAGGAAGATTCTGGATGAGGATCATTATGGCATGGAGGAAGTGAAGAAACGAATTCTGGTATGTCTAAGGGTCATTAGCAGTTAGTCATTAGTTGAGGTCCCGCTTCACTGCTGATGGATCGTCCTCATCATTGCTCCATTCCTGTGACAGTAGAAAATCTCATAGAATACCCTACACTTTCCTAATTCTCCTTCAGTGCATCTTCCTCAGAGGCGAGCAACTGACAGTTCTGCTGATAAAAAAAAGCAGATCTGATGTCTCCTTGTATGCATTTCATCATTTCACTTTGGTGGCCTAGGAAAAAAAATGCCAACAACCCACATTTTTAAAATTCGAGTTCACAAAATCATTCCTTGAAAAAAATTTTTTTTATTTTTTTTTAACACTGATCTCTGTCCGTCGCACACCACACACACACATATGCACGCACATAACCAGACACATACATGCGCGTACACAGCCATTTATGTAACTAACCAGTGTTTAATTACAGACACAATAACAGGAGTGATCATAAACACAATTGTGGCTGGGATTTGATTAGGTTTGATCCCCCTGTTTTTGAGCTTCCAAGAAGAAAAGGGTTGAGAATAAGTTTACTATTGAGCTGGGTCATGTTTCATGATTTCTGCCTCCACAGGGATTTGAACACGTGGATGTTTCCCTCATCTGATCATTATTGCAATTTTCTAAAAACATCCAGTGTATCAGTCTGTTGTGTTCTGTTCTCAAATATATCATGTTACTCACAAGTCAAAACCATCATTAGGATAAAATCAGAAACAGATTTAAAAATAAACACAGGTTTAACCATGAAAAATATTTTCACAACCACTTGAACAGAATAGACCAGTCATATTTGTCGTTTACACTGCGCTGGACACTGCAGACCCAACAAACACTCAGATAAATTCGGTATGAGCTAAACAGTTCTCTGTCAGTGTCTTTGTGCTGAGCAGACTACAGAACATGTCTTGCAAGACTGTCCTCTCTTGGCGGAGCTGCGAAGCAACAAGTGGCCATGCCCAGTAGACATGACAACTAAGCTTTAGGGAAACACAGAGAGACCTTGAGCTGACATCCCAGGTTATGGACCACAATGGATTCAGTTCATGCCCAGTAGACCTGACAACTAAGCTTTAGGGAAACACAGAGAGACCTTGAGCTGACATCCCAGGTTATGGACCACAATGGATTCAGCTCATGCCCAGTAGACATGACAACTAAGCTTTGGGGAAACACAGAGACCTTGAGATGACCTCCCAGGTTATGGGAATATGTTACATTCTGTTCCTTTTTTCCAAATATCTCATGTTACAATATGTTTTTTTTCTTCAAATATCTCATGTAACAATATGTTCTTTTTTCAAATATCTCATGTTAAAATATGTTTATTTTTCAAATATCTCATGTTACAGTCTGTTCTTTTCTTCCCTCTAAATATCTCATGTTACAGTCTGTTCTTTTTTTCAAATATGTCATTTTACAATATGTTTTCTTTCTTTTTTTCAAATATGTCATGTTACAGTATGTTTTCTTTCTTTTTTCAAATATGTCATGTTACAGTATGTTTTTTTTTCCTTTTTTTCAAATATGTCATGTTACAGTATGTTTTCTTTCTTTTTTTTCAAATATGTCATGTTACAGTATGTTTTCTTTCTTTTTTTCAAATATGTCATGTTACAGTATGTTTTTTTTTCTTTTTTTCAAATATGTCATGTTACAGTATGTTTTCTTTCTTTTTTTCAAATATGTCATGTTACAGTCTGTTCCTTTTTTCAAATATGTCATGTTACAGTCGGTTCCTTTTTTCAAATATCTCATGTTACAGTCTGTTCCTTTTTTCAAATATCTCATGTTACAGTCTGTTCTGTGCTCGAATATATCACATTAGATAGAGTCTGTTCTATTCTTTCTTCTCTTCCTGTAACATACAAAAGTTTGTATTCTTTGTTTCAGGAATTTATTGCTGTTAGCCAGCTCAAGGGACACACCCAGGGTAAAATTCTTTGCTTCTATGGGCCACCAGGCGTGGGGAAAACCAGCATTGCCAGGTCTATAGCTAGAGCGCTCAACAGAAAGGTTGGTTGCTAGCTTGACTGTCTTAGACATTGGTTGGCCCTTGGTGGTCTCTTGAAATATGTTTTCTTTTACATGCATGAGGCTGGCAAGGGAAGAAAACTGATTGACAGTTTACAAGATTAGCCATCAGGTCACTGGTGACATCCTGTCACTGGTGATATTACTTCACTGGTGACATTACTTTACTGGTGACATTATTTTACTTGTGACATCAGGTCACTGATGATATCAGGTCACTGGTGACTTTATTTTACTGGTGACATCACTTCACTGGTGACATCATTTCCCTAGTAACATCACTTCCCTAGTAACATCACTTCTCTGGTAACATCAGTTCTCTGTATCAAGAGTGCTGCAACAAGTCTTAATATTTCTTCTCCTGACATTTAAAAGAAGCATAGAGACTACTAAAATGTCACAGCGCCCACAAATAGATGGATGAATGTAATTGATTGGTGTAAGCTGGATAGATGTAGTGATGTGTTGTTCGTAGAGGGGAATTAGGTAAGTAGGTTCGTAGATATATTTAGTCAGTCTAAATTGACAGACAGTACAATATTTAAGTGGATATGCTACTAATGTAGACCCATTAGCTGAATGTTTCAGGGCAAAATGACATACAGCCTGATGTTTTCGGCAAACATTTTTTTTAAAGGTGAAAAAAATTGTACATAAAGAATCTGAGAGCGGCATTATTCAAATGACCTGTTACATGCTGAAGTTGAGATTAATTGATGTGAATAAAACGGAAACAAAAACAAATTATTATTTTGCATTTGCATCTTTGTGTTTGCCCTCTGCAGTATTTCCGATTCAGCGTGGGTGGTATGACTGACGTAGCTGAGATTAAGGGACACAGGTGAGGGGCACTGTTTGTATCAGTGGTGTTCTTCTTATTCTCTCTCTCTCTGTTTCTCTCTGTCTCTCTCTCTCTGTGTCTCTCTCTTTCTCTCTCTGTCTCTCTTTCTCTCTCTCTCTCTGTCTGTCTCTCTCTCTGTCTCTCTCTTTCTCTCTCTCTCTCCCTCCCTCCCTGCCTGCTGATGTATCTATGGATTTTTATTTTTTAAATACATTTTTGGTAAACAGACAGTGTTGTGTAGACATATTTGTAGTGAACAAAAAAAGGTCATAAGCAAAGGTATGTTGCCTCTATGACAGGTTCTGTGACAGGCTTCATCAGATTTCATTTCTGTGTTTGGTGATTTGAGTTTTGAGAATTGTCTACATGATGTTCTTATGACATATTTCTGTGTTCTTATTTTTTTTTTAGTGCATGTCTTTATAGCTTTCTTAGCAGCAAACTTTCTCTACACATTTGGTCATCTTCTTTGTGTGTATGGTGTCTCTTCAAATCAGTCTTTGGTCCTTATACACAGGAATATTTTCATGCTATCTAAATATATATGATCTAAATATATATGTTTGTCTGTCTGTCTGTAAATGTATCTGCATATATATATATATATATATATATATATATATATATATATATATATATATATATATATATATATATATATATATAAAACTATGGTCCATAAAAGATGCCAACATTGTAAAATACCATGTATGATGTCAGAGACATAAAAGACTACAGGGCAGACCACGAAGACAGTGAAGAGATAATATACAGGCAGACCTTCAAACATTCAGTTCATGTAGTTTATTCAGATTCTTCTGATCTGATCTGTGGCCACTGATAAAGATATCAGTGTACAGGGAAAGTAATCAGTTACCTGATCCATTTTTTGTGGACACATCAACTTTGTCCCGTACCAGAGACATGGGTACAAATGATAATATCAGTGAAAGTATTTAGCGACCTGACCCAGTTGTTTGTGGATACATCAACTTTGTCCCGTACCAGAGACATGGGTACTAATGATAATATCAGTGAAAGTATTTAGTGACCTGACCCAGTTGTTTGTGGACACATTAACTTTGTCCTGTACCAGAGACATGGGTACTAATGATAATATCAGTGAAAGTATTTAGTGACCTGACCCAGTTGTTTGTGGACACATTAACTTTGTCCTGTACTAGAGACATGGGTACTAATGATAATATCAGTGAAAGTATTTAGCGACCTGACTCAGTTGTTTGTGGACACATTAACTTTGTCCCGTACCAGAGACATGGGTACTAATGATAATATCAGTGAAAGTATTTAGCGACCTGACCCAGTTGTTTGTGGACACATCAACTTTGTCCCGTACCAGAGACATGGGTACTAATGATAATATCAGTGAAAGTATTTAGTGACCTGACCCAGTTGTTTGTGGACACATTAACTTTGTCCTGTACTAGAGACATGGGTACTAATGATAATATCAGTGAAAGTATTTAGTGACCTGACCCAGTTGTTTGTGGACACATTAACTTTGTCCTGTACTAGAGACATGGGTACAAATGATAATATCAGTGATAGTATTTAGTGACCTGACCCAGTTGTTTGTGGACACATCAACTTTGTCCCGTACCAGAGACATGGGTACTAATGATAATATCAGTGAAAGTATTTAGTGACCTGACCCAGTTGTTTGTGGACACATCAACTTTGTCCCGTACCAGAGACATGGGAACTAATGATAATATCAGTGAAAGTATTTAGTGACCTGACCCAGTTGTTTGTGGACACATTAACTTTGTCCCGTACCAGAGACATGGGTACTAATGATAATATTAGTGAAAGTATTTAGTGACCTGACCCAGTTGTTTGTGGACACATCAACTTTGTCCCGTACCAGAGACATGGGTACTAATGATAATATCAGTGAAAGTATTTAGCGACCTGTAGCAGTTGTTTGTTTGACACATCAGCTTTGTCCTGTAGAAGAGATATTTGTCTACCACTGCCCCAAGTCCTTTTACAATTCTTGGTTTTGTATTCTTTGTCCTTTGTTAAGGCTCACACAACTTCTGCACAAAAGTGCACCAGCTTACTTACTACTGTCCCAAGGAATTGTATACACAGATAACTAAATCAGACAAAGCAGTGATTGTAATGATATTATATCTGGATGTAAGGTAGCTTCACCAAATTTTACAGTGGGCTTTTTTGTCAGTCTGTTTTGTCTCTTTGACTGGTTTTATTTGGGTTTTTTCGTAATAATTTGTCTAATGTCAGGAATTTGTTTGGTTGTCATTGTCTGATGGAATATGTTTGCTTGTTGTTGTTTAAAGTTGTGACTGACATGTTGTCTTCACTCAACAGGTGCTCTTCATCTGTACAGCAAACGTGACAGAGACAATACCCGAGCCACTGAGAGACAGAATGGAAATGATTGATGTCTCTGGCTATGTCGCTGAGGAAAAACTCAATATTGCAAATGTATGTTCTTTTAACCGGCTCATTTGATGTTATTCTTTACTTAAAAGTTTTTTGTTAAAAATTTAGTCATAGATAGCTTTTCAATTTGTTTTCTCTTGTTTTGTATCTTTGTGGAGTAATCCTATTTGAAGTAATCTTTGTTAGCATATATATTTGTCATGAAACTAGATGATCTCTGTTGTGGATCCATGATGTTCAGTGAGTAAAAGTAAATAGCCCTTTTGCACACCTGTAGGTGTATAGAGCTAAAACTATATTTTATAAACCTGTTGGCACATTTTGTGGGTGATATGGTCACGCCGACAACCTTTACTTCCCATTACTATGCTTGGTACCCACTCAAGACTGGGTCGACCTCGGAGCCATGGTCGTTTTTTAAGGACGTCCTGTTCCTTCAGGACCCAAACTCAGGACTTTCTGATCCCCTGCACCCCAGTGGCTCCCTTGTTAAGTGAGTAGCATAAATTATGATAAAGTATGATGTATTTCTAATGCAGCAATATCTGGTGCCACAAGCCATCGCCAATTCTGGAGTGGACAAGGAAAAGATGCATGTTACTGACGAGGCCATGAACACTTTGATCAAATCTTACTGCAGGGAGAGTGGGGTTCGCAACCTGCAGAAGCAGATCGAGAAGGTCAGTTGTCTTTAAGCTGTAGGTTTGTCCAAATGCCTTTCCTCTGAGTGTAGTCAGTCGGCCAGACCCTCTGGTTACACTCCGGTGCCTCATTCTCTCCAGGCCATAATAATCTTTCTCTACTGATTCCGCTGCTTGTTCCTAAAGGGCCTTGGCCACATCTGCCTTGTCATGTATCAATTCACCACCTAGTGGTGCGGATCCAGCCAATCTGTCTGCCTGTCATTACCCACCACTCCGGCATGGCCTGGAGAAATGATCCAAAGTATGTTCACTACCTGTGAATTTTCTAGTGAAGCTTCCCACTCTGCTCGAAGCATCCCTGTCTTATCTGTTTCAGCAAGCTTTTAGAGTCTGTCAGCAAATGAATGGAAGATAATGTAGCCAGGAGAATGCAGCACAGCAAACAAGTACACAAATGCATAAACCAACAACAGACGGACACAGTTGCTGTAGGTGGTTAAATATACTGTAGTGGAGATTGAAGCAGGTGTGGTCATGTCTGCAGTGGTGTGATAGTAATCTGAACTCAGTGGTGTGATAGTAATCTGAACTCAGTGGTGTGATAGTAATCTGAACTCAGTGTTGTGATAGTAATCTGAACTCAGTGGTGTGATAGTAATCTGAACTCAGTGGTGTGATAGTAATCTGAACTCAGTGGTGTGATAGTAATCTGAACTCAGTGGTGTGATAGTAATCTGAACTTAGTGGTGTGATAGTAATCTGAACTTAGTGGTAAATGTGCCTGGATCATGTCAGAGTGTGAGTGTAAGCTAGAGCTATTTAACTAAGTTTTCCCAGGGGCTACAATTGTGGAAATGGGGATCATCGAAGGCCAGAGACCTGTGCTCCACATAGGAAGATCATTAATACAACTGACAGTGATCCGAGGGCCACTTGCCAGACCTCTTTGGGCCAGATTTGGTCCCTTGGCTGCCAGTTTGAGTAGCCTTGGTACAAAAGGGTCTTTATAAATAGAGTGTATCTTCTTCCCTGGCTAGAGAGTATATCAGTGTGAGTTCCAGGGCCCTGTTGCAAAAGGAGGGGGGGGGGGGGGGGTTAGACCCACTTCTCCTCTAACAAGCATGACGTTTGAGTCTACTAATTAGGGGTTTTCTTTGTCGAAGCCAGAGTGTATTTGTTTGGGAGACATTGAGCCAACAGTCTGTATACAAATAAATGAGTATATCTGTAAAACAGATGTGCATGTAAAACTCAAGTTCTGGAACAATCCTAAAGTCCAGAAGTGGAAGAACAACCAGAACTTTCCACTGGAGTTTACAGCCCATGAACCTGAAAAAGAATAAGAAGATCGTTCATTGTCAGCAGCTGTCATTATGTTTAGGACATATTTCTGTAGTAAGAGCTGTTGTGGTATAGTTGCTAATGCACTCACCTAAACTGATGCCCTGGGTTTGATTCCTGGTAGGTTCCATATTGAATGTTTTTGTGTCCACCAATAGGCCTCAGTGGTTAACTTAGTCTCATAAATGAGTATTGAGAAAGTTTTGACCCTGACATTAGGGTGACCTTACGGCCTCACAGGTTTTCTTTTGTAGATGGGACACCTACAGTGACCTGCTGGTACACACACTGTCCTGCTGGTACACACACAGTGACCTGCTGGTACACACACAGTGACCCGCTTCTTTTGTCTCTATGTTATGTTTTGTTGCTCCTTTTTGTCACAAGAGCTACTGTAACTTAACCTGCTCCATATTTCCACTATTTAAATTCCCCAAAACACAAAGACTGGCTGTAAAGTACACAAACTTTGAAATGGAAAGTGTGGAAGTAACAACTGCAAGCTACTAAAATGTGCTATAATCTGGGAAAGCTTTTTTATAGGACGGTCTAAGTGAGAGGAGAAGTTACATAAGTAGCATACCCAAATCAGTATTGGATGTCATTCCCCTTACATTGGATGTTTCATTGTTTCTGTTTATGTTACCCAGATTTTCCGTAAAGCTGCCCTGAAGATTGTCAGTGAGAACATCACCAAGATTGAGGTAGACACCAGCAACCTTCAGGAGTTTGTGGGCAAGCCTGTGTTCACACACGATCGTCTGTACGACCTGACACCTCCAGGGGTGGTCACTGGTCTAGCCTGGACTGCCATGGGTTGGTGCTTTACGTAACTGCTCATTTGTGATATCAGCAGAGATGCTTTTACTCTTAGACTCTGATTTGTCCACTTCGTCATGAGCTTTGACAGACTACCTTTTCTTTGTTTTCAGGACCACCTCCACATACAGACACGCACACTCTTACTTTGTATATAAATCACTTTCTCTCAATGTCAGGATGAGAGTACTGAGATATTATAGCTAACCTGTCTTGTTGCATGCCAGGGAATTGTGAAATGTCACGGAACAGATTGGGAAGAGCTTGGAAGCAGCAGAGATGTGTGTTGTTTAAGACAGATGTGAAAATCTCCGACTATCACAGTAACTCACAGTGACTGGGAGATGCTACTGCAAATAGATCATCATCAATTAGCAAATCCTTACAGAATTTCGCTCTCTTTACGGCACGCTTTAAGGTATGCCTTTCCCTTGCCAGCTCTCCGGTCCCATGTGCTTTCAGTGCCAATACTTTTCATTCAGTTTTATATCTTTTCTTCAGTGCCAATGAATCTTCAGTGGTTGAACACTGCTTCACCTTCCACAAACTGTACCTTTCACCACCATCTTGGGACAGGAGGCTGCAAGTAGATACAGCTACAAAACAATTCTTTTGTGTGGGTCATATTTCAAGAAGAGAGATGTTAGGAAACACAGCAGCTAGAAAAACACATCTGTAGTGCAGGTTAAGGGAGCAGTGATGCTGGATTGTTTCAGATGGTTGTTTGAAGGGATGTGATTGATAACATTGTTCCACAACACCAAGACATAAAGATCTCTGACAAGATCATGCCACAGCACATGACCTGATGACATTTCTTCTAATGGGGATGTGGAAAACAAGAGAAAACCTTGACATTGAGTTTCCAATAATATGTTCAGGAATATTCTTACAGCTAGATCTACAAAGAAACGTGTTCAAATGCTCATTTACATTATAAAGGAAATCATCAGAAATAAAATACACTTACTCGGATAAATGAATGGCTAAATGGCATGATGGATTAATGAGTGGCTAAATGGCATGATGGATAAATGAGTGGCTAAATGGCAGGATGGATTAATGAGTGGCAATGAAGCACTGGGTAGCCAAATGTATGAAAAGGAGGAAAAGATAGATAAGCCTTTTTCCTGTTACAGTTTGTGTGTGTGTGTGTCTGGTATACTAATTATTGTGTTTCTGTTTCACATTGTAGGTGGATCCACTTTGTTCATTGAGACAGCTCTAAAGAAATCTCTGGATCTAAGTGCCAAGGAAGCAGGTTCCATAGACTTGACTGGCAGTCTAGGCAATGTCATGAAAGAGAGCGCCCACCTGGCCCACACCTATGCCAAGTCCATCCTGGCCAAGCAATTTCCTGAAAATGAATTCTTGCAGAAGGCTCATCTGCATTTACACGTGCCAGAGGTAAAGCGTATGTTTAGGTAAAAGTAACCTGCTCAGCATTCATAGAAAGAAGTAATAAATGAGATTCTAGTGTGTATTGAAACATTCATTATTATGAGATTCATAGACAGTAAGAGACAAAGGAGATAGAAGTTTGACATACCCCTAAACAGATTGGATATAAACATGACATATGTAGGGAAACATAGCGAATATAAACATGACATATGTAGGGAAACAACGAATATAAACATGACATGTGTAGGAAAACATAGCGAATATAAACATGACATATATAGGGAAACATAGCGAATATAAATATGACATATGTAGGGAAACATAGCAAATATAAACATGACATATGTAGGGAAACATAGCGAATATAAACATGACATATGTAGGAAAACAGCGAATATAAACATGACATATGTAGGGAAACATAGCGAATATAAACATGACATGTATAGGGGAACAGAGCGAATCTAAACATGACATATGTGGGGAAACTGAGTGGATCTTAACATGACATATGTGGGGAAACAGTGAGTGGATAGAAGTATTACACCTGTAATGAACAGAGTCAGTCAGTCAGTCTATCAGTCAGTCAGTATGTCAGTCAGTCAGTCAGTCGGTAGCATGTCCTTTGCAGAACCATGCTCCCATAACAACCCTCGGACAAACTTCTCGATCACAAGCAAGATGTTCCGCATCCGATACACCCATCTGGAGATCATCCGCCACATCCTGCACCCATCTTCTCTTTGGCCTTCCTCTTCCTCTCTTCCCAGGCATGTACCCCTGTATTATTGTTCTCTCCAAACTTTGATGACGTATCAAGGGACCAAGATATTTCAATTTTCTGTGTTTTATCGACTTTAATAGCCAACCTTCTTCACTAGAGTGGATAGAAATATATTACTTCTAACTTAAAAAGCTCCAGTTGTAATTTTCATTGTGGACAGTTGCTTACTGATGAACTCTGTGCTGTCATGTTTCAGTGGACCTTTTCAGTTGCGGGAGAAGAGACTAGCATAATACATGATTAACAGCATTATGGTCAGATGTCAGGATAGAGTATATATTAACAAGTTGTTTTAGTTCAGCAAGAGTCGTTAATGAGGCAGATGTTGATTTCTCAATTATCCAGGGAGCGACCCCTAAAGATGGCCCTAGTGCAGGATGTACAATTGTGACAGCCCTGCTGTCTCTGGCCATGAACAAACCGGTGCGACAAAACCTGGCAATGACAGGAGAGGTGTCTCTGACTGGAAAAGTGTTGCCAGTTGGTGGTATTAAGGAGAAGACTATCGCTGTAAGTTTTTCTTTTTTCTTTTTAAATTTAGTATTGGTTTTTGAATGGTGATAAACACAAATTAAACAGTCCTTATCGAGAACTTGGTAACAACTAGCAAGATTGATGGAAAGAGAGCAAGAGGAAGGCAAATAGATATAAATACCTGGATGGCCTGGCCAGATGGATGGGGCAGGACAGAAACATTGAACTTATCCGTGATTCTGGTGACCTTGTGAGGTGGTAAAACATGATAGTTACGCTTACCTGCATGGCATGCTGATGATGATAAATGCAAAGTTGTCTTCTTGTGGTCTGTCCTACGTGGTGTTGGTCATCACATATATCCACAACCTTCTGTCTCCTACGTGGTGTTGGTCATCACATATATCCTCAACCTCCTGTCTCCTACGTGGTGTTGGTCATCACATATATCCTCAACCTTCTGTCTCCTACGTGGTGTTGGTCATCACATATATCCACAACCTTCTGTCTCCTACGTGGTGTTGGTCATCACATATATCCTCAACCTCCTGTCTCCTACGTGGTGTTGGTCATCACATATATCCTCAACCTTCTGTCTCCTACGTGGTGTTGGTCATCACATATATCCTCAACCTCCTGTCTCCTACGTGGTGTTGGTCATCACATATATCCTCAACCTTCTGTCTCCTACGTGGTGTTGGTCATCACATATATCCTCAACCTTCTGTCTCCTACGTGGTGTTGGTCATCACATATATCCTCAACCTTCTGTCTCCTACATGGTGTTGGTCATCACATATATCCTCAACCTTCTGTCTCCTACGTGGTGTTGGTCATCACATATATCCTCAACCTCCTGTCTCCTACGTGGTGTTGGTCATCACATATATCCTCAACCTTCTGTCTCCTACGTGGTGTTGGTCATCACATATATCCTCAACCTTCTGTCTCCTACGTGGTGTTGGTCATCACATATATCCTCAACCTTCTGTCTCCTACATGGTGTTGGTCATCACATATATCCTCAACCTTCTGTCTCCTACGTGGTGTTGGTCATCACATATATCCTCAACCTTCTGTCTCCTACGTGGTGTTGGTCATCACATATATCCTCAACCTTCTGTCTCCTACGTGGTGTTGGTCATCACATATATCCTCAACCTTCTGTCTCCTACATGGTGTTGGTCATCACATATATTCACAACCTCCTGTCTCCTACATGGTGTTGGTCATCACATATATCCTTAACCTTCTGTCTCCTACATGGTGTTGGTCATCACATATATTCACAACCTCCTGTCTCCTACATGGTGTTGGTCATCACATATATTCACAACCTCCTGTCTCCTACATGGTGTTGGTCATCACATATATTCACAACCTCCCGTCTCCTATGTTGCCAAAATTCTCAGCTGATGTTGCAAGACAAGAAGTCGACTCGCTGAGGTGTTGACTGTAGTTGCTTCCCCATACTTTTATAGAGCACTCGACAGTGGGTAATGGGGTCATTAGGTCTCCTCCTTTTACTTCCTAGAATATTTCCTAGTACCCATTTCTGGTATCCACTAATGAGGAGGTTACAGTGTCCGGTTGTCATGTAGGAGACGCAAGTTCAACCCCCAGTAAGGTGATGGAGTTTTTCTTTTGGGAAGGGACAAGGAGGGGGGAATAAACCTGGTTTCCTTTTGCACTCCTTGGTACATTAGCCATGCAGCTTTATATCCTCACAAACTCAAGACCCCCACTGTCTACACCACCCTAAAAAGTGGTAAATGCAGACAGCAGTGACAGTGACCCAGTTAAGGCTGGGCTGACCTAGAAAGCCAGGTCAAGTGTTAGAACACTCCCTGTCTTGATGGGGGCGGACATGACCCCCAGACAGGCCTGCTAGCCACAAGGGTACCTCAGATCTTGTGCAATGTTGGCCCTACACTTTGACTACTCTGTTTCTTCTTTACATTCACTGGTTATAAACTGTGGTGGAAATGTCTGGTTGTTCCTCTAATTCTGGACTTTGCTGTTCTTCCAGAAACTGAGTTTTGCCCGTGCATGTGTTTTAGAATCAGACTTATTTGTGTGCCAGACGTTTGGTTCCTTGCCTCTCAGGCAGATGCACTTTAACTTTGAAGTAAACATCCATAATTAGTTGATGCTCACAATGTGCTTGTTAGAGGTGCAGTGGCTGTTTTCTTGTTTCCCCACAATGGGACCCCTCAACCCACACATAAACCCGCATATACTACACTGCTTCTTTATAAAATGAAGGGGACTACTCCCTTCCTCATCAGCCCTTCCTCTCAGGCAGCCTCATGTGTACAAGATGGGTCAAGAGAGCACTACAGTGACTGGGACACATCCACTGGGCCACTGCTGGGGGTTTTCCAGAGTCTGTTATGGTAGTAAAGTGTTTTACCAACCTCTGTTTAGCTCAGATAACTGAGTCAGTATTATCACCTGCTTTGACATTTGTTTGTGCACTGCTAGGTCATGTCTTTGTTAGCTGAGGTAACTTATTCCCTTCTGTCCAGATGTATTGATTCATTGTATTTCTCTTATTCCCTTCTGTCCAGATGTATTGATTCATTGTATTTCTCTTATTCCCTTCTGTCCAGATGTATTGATTCATTGTATTTCTCTTATTCCCTTCTGTCCAGATGTATTGATTCATTGTATTTCTCTTATTCCCTTCTGTCCAGATGTATTGATTCATTGTATTTCTCTTATTCCCTTCTGTCCAGATGTATTGATTCATTGTATTTCTCTTATTCCTTTCTGTCCAGATGTATTGATTCATTGTATTTCTCTTATTCCCTTCTGTCCAGATGTATTGATTCATTGTATTTCTCTTATTCCCTTCTGTCCAGATGTATTGATTCATTGTATTTCTCTTATTCCCTTCTGTCCAGATGTATTGATTCATTGTATTTCTCTTATTCTTCCTTTCATGTCTTGACGGAGAAGAGATTGTAAAAGTTTATATTTTGTGAAGTTTGAGCATAATAACTGGTTTCATTGATACTGTTTATATTGAAACAATTTTACAGGCAAAACGAGTTGGGATCACAGCATTGATACTACCAGCAGAAAACAAAAAGGATTTCTCCGACCTGCCGAGCTTCATCTCCGACGGTCTTGATGTCCATTTTGTTGATCATTATGAGGATGTGTTCAAGTTGGCTTTTCCCGACCAGTAAAACATTGCTGCCTTTTGCTATCTGTACTTCCATGAGAGAATGCTTTCTTGCTGGCTGAATGATGCAGTTTTTTAATAAGTAAATTGTGGGTTTTGTAAAAACTCGATTTCTGGTATTACTTTAGTGGAAATGTATATTTTAGTCTTTTTGGGACGTCTGCATGTGTCATTACCGCAGTCAGCCTGTGTATCTTAGTCTCTTGGGGTCGTCTACATGTGACATTACTGCAGTCAACCTGTATATCTTAGTCTCTTGGGGTCGTCTACATGTGTCATTACTGCAGTCAGCCTGTATATCTTAGTCTCTTGGGGTCGTCTACATGTGTCATTACTGCAGTCAGCCTGTATATCTTAGTCTCTTGGGGTCATCTACATGTGTCATTACTGCAGTCAGCCTGTATATCTTAGTCTCTTGGGGTCGTCTACATGTGTCATTACTGCAGTCAGCCTGTATATCTTAGTCTCTTGGGGTCGTCTACAAGTGTCATTACTGCAGTCAGCCTGTATATCTTAGTCTCTTGGGGTCATCTACATGTGTCATTACTGCAGTTAGCCTGTATATCTTAGTCTCTTGGGGTCGTCTACATGTGTCATTACTGCAGTTAGCCTGTATATCTTAGTCTCTTGGAGTCGTCTACATGTGTCATTACTGCAGTTAGCCTGTATATCTTAGTCTCTTGGGGTCGTCTACATGTGTCATTACTGCAGTCAGCTTTTATATCTTAGTCTCTTGGGGTCGTCTACATGTGTCATTACTGCAGTCAACCTGTATATCGTAGTCTCATGGGGTCGTCTACATGTGTCATTACTGCAGTCAACCTGTAAATCGTAGTCTCATGGGGTCATCTACATGTGTCATTACTGCAGTCAACCTGTATATCTTAGTCTCATGGGGTCGTCTACATGTGTCATTACTGCAGTCAACCTGTATATCGTAGTCTCATGGGGTCATCTACGTGTGTCATTACTGCAGTCAACCTGTATATCTTAGTCTCTTGGGGTCATCTACATGTGTCATTACTGCAGTCAACCTGTATATCTTAGTCTCTTGGGGACATCTACATGTGACATTACTGCAGTCAGCCTGTATATCTTAGTCTCTTGGGGACATCTACATGTGTCATTGCTGCAGTCAGCCTGTATATTTTAGTCTGTTCTGGTTGTCTACGTGTGACATTACTGCATTAAGGTCCTGAAATCCCATCCTATAATTGTGGAAGACTTTTCTCAACGCAATTGTGACTTGCTAGTCACACTCGCCATCGCCATAAGCTGAGTCCCATGCTTCCTCGTTGAGCAGTATAACACTATCGTCTGGAACGGCAGAAAGTTGCCAGACATTGTTTGTTACGCTATGAGGTAGCCAGCCTCAAGCTCAGCCCTGCCCTTAGTCGCCACTTTCGATCTGCCTGCTAGAATGCAGGGATACTGTTACTTGCTGCCTGTGAGGGCACACAGGTGTTATATTGGATGTTTACTAATATTGGACAAATGCAGTAAATATTACCAGCTCTTGATTTCTCTTAAAATAATATAATACTATTTTTTTTGAAAATGCTGGCTTGAAATAGCTGTCTGGCTACTTAATGAAATGCATGAATCAGTGAAACCTGAGATATGGGGTCTTTTCATGGCAAGTATTGTTTCTTAAACTGTGTAATCTGCCATGTTATCATTGTTCCTGGTGTCCAGCCTCGGCAACTTCTCAATCTCACTGGCAATTATGTCCAGATTCTCTAACCTGTTTACCTCGCTGTTGAATATAGCACCATGATGTAAGTGTTCAGAAAGCCCTGTCCAGTATTTGACTTGTTCAGAGCCAGTTTCTCTAACTCCCCCCTTTCCCTGCCATGCAGGTCTAGACCTAGTGTTTCTGTGGCTTGTCGACAATGATGACTAAAAATCCAGCAGGTGACACTGGTGTCTTTCTGGAAAAAAGGGGGAGCCCCTTCCTTGAAATAGACTAGCTCCTGTTGAAATAAATTCAGCAATTAGTACTGACATCTTTTCGGAGGGGAAAAAACCTGCCTTGAAATAGACCAGTCCTGGTGAAATAAATCCAGCAGTTAGTACTGATATCTGTCTGGAGGAAAAAAACCTTCCTTGAAATAGACCAGTCCTGGTGAAATAAATCCAGCAGTTAGTACTGAAATCTTTTTGGAGGGGGAAAAACCCTTCCTTGAAATAGACCAGTCCTGCTGAAATAAATCCAGCAGTTAGTACTGAAATCTTTTTGGAGGGGGAAAAACCCTTCCTTGAAATAGACCAGTCCTGGTGAAATAAATCCAGCAGTTAGTAATGATATCTTTTTGGAGGGAAAAGCCCTTCCTTGAATGCAGGAGATACATCTAACATTGCTTGCCAGAAAAACAGTCGACCAACACTTTATAAAATATCACTAGATGTGTGTGTCATGTCGTCACAAATTTGGCACAGCTACATGACTGCTGACTGAGTGGTCCAGCAGTGCTGATATAATGGCCTGGTGAAAAAAATCCAGCAGTTAGTACTGATATCTTTTTTGGTGGGAAAAACCCTTCCTTGAAATTAGCTCCTGCTGAAATAAATCCAGAAGTGGGACTGATATCTTTCTGGAGGGGAAAAAACCATTCCTTGAAAAAGACTAGCTCCTGCTCAAGTAAATCTAGCTTTTCTTTTTACTTCTGATCTGTGCAAGGGTGGCCAAATAGGATGAGCTTGTCATTTTCCTGATATCCTTGCTTGACTTCGACTAAAGTCTTATGAAAACTGCCAATATTTTCTGTAGATCTTTGATGTAAGGCCATTCTCTGCTCAAATATGCCAATTGTCGTTTTTTTTTTTTTTCTTTCTTCTGAAAACCTTTGACATAACCCAGCACATTGTGAAGCCAAGCAGCGGCTTCTTGGAACATCTTCGAACAGCCATTCCCACAGCCAGAACAATAGTGCTGTGAGACCAATCATCATGTATACCATCATGTATACCAGACATCTCAGCAAAATTGCTGAGCTGTAAACCCATGTAGCAACCGTTGGAGGCAGACTGTCTCTGTGTTAGTGGTGCTGCAGTCTGCTAGATGTTTTAGTCTACACCATCTTCATGTCCTTGTCGACACATAACATAATGGCAGATTGTGTTAGTGGTGCTGCAGTCTGCTAGATGTTTTAGTCTACACCATCTTCATCTCCTTGTTGACACATAACATAATGGCAGATTGTCTCTGTGTTAGTGGTGCTGCAGTCTGCTAGATGTTTTAGTCTACACCATCTTCGTATCCTTGATGACACATAACATAATGGCAGATTGTGTTAGTGGTGCTGCAGTCTGCTAGATGTTTTAGTCTACACCATCTTCATGTCCTTGTTGACACATACAAAAATATAAAAAAAATTGCAGATTTAGGCAGCTGACAAAGTAATATTGAAAACATTACTCGGAACAGTGTAAGCAGCACAAACCAGACTCTGACAAATGCACAATCTTGTATTCAGAAAAAAAATTCAGTGAATGCAGGAGATACATCCAACATTGTTCACCAGGAAAACAGTCGACCAACACTTTATAAAACATCATGGGATGTTTTTGTTATGCACCACTGGAAAATCAGTCAAGTGTAATGCTTTACAAAACATCACTAGATGTTTGTGTCACGCCGTCACAAATTTGGCACGACTTTGAGTGGTCCACTAGTGCTGATTTAATGGCCTTTTTGTTGTTGTTGATTGCTTCAGAGTTTTGCTATATGTTTGTTAACCATTAATAATCAGAATATTTGTTGTCTGGTTTTATGGCCTGGTTTTTATGGAGTGTTTGTGTGTAGCATTTTCACTTTTGAGTATATTGTTTGTTCTACATTTTATTATCACTTGAGTTATTAATATAAATAAAACATAGTTTTATAGCAACCACTGTTACAAACAGGTGTATCCATCTGTTTGATCAGTTTCTTATAGTCTGCAACTATAACTATAACTGTAAAATAACACTTGTGAAATAGAAATAAAAAAAAGATGGTAAATATACATCCATCATCATGATCATGTGCCTTGTCAGATGGAGTAGTTATGTCTGTTCAGATCATGTTCCTTCCGAACAGTTGTATTGATGAGTTCCTCCCATGCCAATATCTTTAACCATTCATTAGGATTTCTTTCTTTTGGCCTCTTCTACAGCTGATCATTCCAGTTGTTACAGTGTTTTCTAATGTCACACTCACTTGATGACCACAGAACACCATCTCTCTCTTTCTGGTTGTTGTGTATGATGTGATACTTTCATTAGCTTGTTAAAGGCATGTCTCAGAAATCACATCTTCACTAGCTCCAAGATTGTTCTCATTTAAAAATACAATAATACAATATAAACAGGGCATATAGCTGCCCTTGAAACTTGAAATAACCCTGGAACAGCATCTTAGACCTTCCATGTTGTAAAACAAACTCTGGAACAGCATCTTAGACCTTCCATGTTGTAAACAACTCTGGAAGAGCATCTTAGACCTTCCATGTTGTAAACAACTCTGGAACAGCATCTTAGACCTTCCATGTTGTAAAACAAACTCTGGAACAGCATCTTAGACCTTCCATGTTGTAAAAAACTCTGGAACAGCATCTTAGATCTTCCATGTTGTAAAAAACTCTGGAACAGCATCTTAGACCTTCCATGTTGTAAAACAAACTTTGGAAGATTAATAAAAGGGACTAAACTCCTGTAGATTTGCCTGCCGCAGCAGGAGACCTGAAAGTGACAAGATTATTCACTGGGAGGCGTAATATTCTGCAACTGGGCTGTTTTCAGCTACTCATGTCAGGTGAACTGCAGGCGTTTTCATACCTCAACAGCAATATCTTCCATCTGACCATTTCAACTTTATTTGCCTTGTTGGTTCCTGGTGAAGACATTTCTAGATTGTTATTAGCTAGTCTTTTTTCAAGAAATGTCCTAACCAGTGCCAGTTTCTTTTCCTCATCAGCAGATTCACTGGAATTTCTTCCATCTTGGGATTCACTTAAATTTCTTCCATCTCTGGATTCACTAGAATTGTCCAGTTCTCTTCATCAGCATTCTATCATACCATTTTTTGGAGTGGGGGTCTTTCCATTTTACGGAGGGACCTAATGGTGAATGTTTTTATTTTATTATTAATTGTTATTGCTATTCTGCAGGATTTAGATACATATATTTTTACACCAAACCATGTTGTCATTTTGTGTGCAGTGAATATATGCACTTACACATGTTCCTTGTAGGTCTGCAGTTTAATCCACTGCAGGCGACTCACTAACTGGTTTTACAAATAGAATGTCTGTAACTGGGCCCATCTGCAAATAAGATCAGTAAATTGTCGTAGCTTGTTACCTGATGGTAGAAGAGAAGAGGCCATGGCTGTGTTGACTAAATACTAAATTGGTCTCCACTATAAGGTCATAGCTGTGTGTGTGAATGCCTGAGAGCGCAAATGTGTGTGCGTGTGTGTGTAAGATTGTAGCATGTCTACACTATTTTCTCTTCACTAGAATCATCATGAAAGTTATTTATTATTTGTTGTAATATTAAATAAAGCAGATTTGTTGTTTTTTGACCTAGGCAACTCGTTGTGTGTTGTATTTTTATGTAACAACTAATATTTTTAATCCTTGTGAATATAAGAAAGACAGTTTTTGTCTGTCTTTCAAAATTTTCTGGTCTGATATTTTATTTGTAAGGTGTGTTCCTAATTCCTACATGTTTTTTTTTTCTTCTTCTTCTTCTTCACTTCCTCTTTTACCGCTGTGGGTGTCGAGTGAGATATAAGGTTCTGTTTCTAGCTTTTCTGGCTGCCTCGACCATAGGCACATCGTGCTGTTGTAGAGTTTCTCTGATGTTATCCTTCCATCTTGTTTTTGGTCTACCCCGTGCTCTACGTCCTTCTTCTCTTCCCATGTATGCTTTGTATGGTATGGTGTCACAAGGCATTCTCTCTAAGTGGGCAAACCATTTTACTTGCTGTCTTTGTATGTAATCCAGAATTGGTTCTGTGCCGACTTGTTCTCTTATGATCTCATTTCTGATCTTATCTCTTATGGTCACTCCTACAGCCCTTCTCAGACATCTCATTTCAGTGGTTACTAATTTTCTTTTATGGTTTGTTGTGAGTGACCATGTCTGGCACTGGTAGCACAGAGTTGGAATAAATATGCTTTGAATAAGATGTCTCTTTGTGCTGACTGGGATTGTCTTGTGCTGTAAGAGGGGGGCTAGCTGTCTCAATACTTGGTTTGCTTTACTGCATCTAATGTCAATTTCTTTATCCAATTTCCCATCTTCGGTAAATGTAGTTCCCAGATATTTAAACTCAGATGCCTGTTTAATGCCTTTGTATTCTATTGTTATGTTTAGATCTGTCTTCTTTTTTCCTATTGACATTACTTCTGTCTTTTCAGTGTTGATTTTCATATTATTTGTTTTACATTCTTCATTCATGGATGTTAGATGTTGTTGCAATTTCATGGCTGTATCTGCTATCAAGGCCTGGTCATCTGCAAAGAGTAATTCGTTGATCTTACTAAGATCTTCATTCATAGGCTTGGCATTCTTGCATATACTGTCGATGTAGGTGATAAACAGCAGTGGTGATAAGACACATCCCTGTCTTACTCCAGATGTCACTGTGAAAGGATGAGATGTTCCCTGATTTATTCTAACTACACTTCTACAATCCCTGTATAAACTTTTGCACACTTCGATGAGGTGTTCGCTTACTCCATATCTTGCCATTATTTTCCATAATAATTGTCTGTCGACTCTGTCAAATGCCTTCTCCTGGTCTACGAATGCCACAAATAAGTTCTTATTGTATTCAATGTTCTTTTCTATTAACTGTTTAAGTGTGAAGATTGCATCTGTGCAGCTTCTATTTCTCCTAAATCCCATCTGTTCTTCTGCCAGCTGTGGTTCTATCACTGGTCTCAGTCTTGTTTCTATTATCTTGGCATACATTTTGCCAACATGGCTTAAAAGAGAGATGCCTCGATATTGACCGCATTCTCGTTTGCTTCCTTTGTTCTTCCACAATGGTATAACTATTGCATGTTGCCAATCAATAGGGGCCGTTTGTTGTACCCATGCTGCATTGAATATTCTTTGAAGCCATCTGATGCTGCTTTCACCTGCTGCTTGAATTATTTCTGTTGGTAATCTATCAGCTCCTGGTGCTTTATATTTGGGAGACTGTTTATTGACTTTTTCTATTTCATCCATTAGTATGTGTGGTTCTAACACTGTTGCTCTGTGCTCTTCAGTTGTTCTTTCCTGATGATCTCCTAGAGGATTAAAGAGCTCATTGAAGTATTCCCTCCATCTTTCTGCAATCTCGGGTGGATCTATCAATGGCCTTCCTGTCTTATCATTAATTATTTCAGTGGGGTTGTAGCTCTCATCTCTTTTCCGCATATTTTTAACCACTTTGAAAAATTTTCTGCTGGCTGTTTTCTCATTTTCTGCTAGTGACTCACCGAAACGTTCCCAGGATGCTTGTTTTGCTTTCTTGACACTCCTATTGGTTTCTCTCCTTTGCAGTCTATAGTTTATATAATCTTCTTCTTTCTTTGATTTTATCCACTGTTTATATAAGTCTTTTTTCTTTTTAATTGCTTCTTTTACTTCTTCGCACCACCAAGGTGAATATTTGTTATTTCCCCGTCTGTTTCCACTCTTCCGTTTTCCACATAATTCTTCTGCAATACTAAGCATAGTGTTTTTATATATACTCCATTCTTCCTCAATATTGCCAACTACATGTGGAAGTTGTTTGAATGCAGTCTCTACTTTCTGTTGTAACTGTTCTTTTACTCCTTCCTGTTTCAGATTTGCTATCTTGATGAGATCCTTGTTTTTGTTTAATTTCTTTCTGTGTTTCTTTAATGTAAGATGTTTTGCTGTTAACACAACTATTTTATGGTCAGTGTCACATAGACCATTAGGGATTGCTCTTGAATCA